ACGTTGTACAGAGACATTATGCAATCAAACACAACTGGGGCAAAAGTCAAGTCTATTGCTCAGGTGAAATACAGTCCTGTTCACACATGAGTTTGAAGGACGCAGAGGAACGGACCATTCAAGGGTGGTTAGAGATCAGCGTCCACCCGATGGACCTCGATCATCAACTCCAATCATCTTCAAAAAGGGTTCAATAATTGCTCGTCTGCGCTCCTCGGATGCACGGCGTTCTTTCTCTTTCGATGGTATCGAAGCAGTAGCAGAAATAAGCACGCGTGCAAAGATGGATGATAGGGCAGTCTCCACAGCCTGTCTGCGCACTGCGGAGGGTTTTGTGGCTACTGGGTCGGTGGTAGTAGTAGTGGATGTGCTGGTAGAGCGGTTCTTACGGCGGAATGTGCCGCCAGAGATAAATGCAGCAGCAGAAGCTGGTGTGGGAGATTTTAGTTCCGCTGGTTCGGATTGTTTATCCGCTGATTCATTAGACGACTCCTGCGTCTTTCCGTGCTTTGAAGAAGACGAGGATGGTCTTGGTGCGGTCGATGGCATTGGGGCAACCTCATTGGCGATACGAGCAAGCATAAAGGTGACAAATGTGAATGAGACGCTGTGTGCTGGGGAGTACGCGAGGTTCTCGAGTACCCAAGCCTGGGTTTCTTCCCAGTTCAGAGGCGGTGCTCTCGATTTCTCGCGTGCGATCATTTGTTGCTCCATGTCTTGCCATACTGACGCGGTGACAATGCCATCTCTAAGTGAATTAAGGAAGGTGAGAAGGGTCTCGGAGAGGATCTCCAAACGGTGGAGAGATGGGACCTCGGGTGCAAAGACTGATGTAAGAGACCCGTTGGTGTCAAGGGCTTCATAGACTAAGACCAGCTGAGCAGCGCGATCCTGCGGGTCCTGGAGGGTCCACGTATCTGGCTGGAATGGCCATGAAGCTCCAGAGGGCTCTCTTGTCCATGGTGCTTTATGCTCCTCGGATTCACCATTGGTCATACTCCATTCTGCCACGGCCCGTTCTGTCAACTCAGATACTGCTTCTGTCAATCGGAACAGCTCTCGGGGTGCTGATAAGCGAACTTCGGGGGATTTGTCCGCGCAGGATGGATGAGGGACGTCTGATTTGGCCAAAGTGCGAGCACCCTCTTCTGGCATACAGGTTAATTCATCCACAGAGAAACCGAAGCTGGTAGGCAGCCAATTCCCGAACACAGAAATGAAATGATCACGGCCACTATCCACGTGGAGAACTAGGATCTCTTCTAGTTTGACCTTTCTCATATTGAGCAGCCTGACGTGTTCGATGTCATGGACGCGGGCTGTGATATCAACATTTGCCACTTCACCTGGGTGCAGGGTACGGTTCCCAGTCGAAGACGCAATTGCTTCACCATCGTGGCTGGTGCTTTCGGCTGATCTCGTAACATGGAGGTCAAGCCACTTAGGTTTTTCGGTATCGGAATGCCGGTCTGCGAACGAAAATGTCGCCGAGGTACCGCTAGTGTTGGCAATGGTCAGGGATCGGTGAACTGGCAGATGGAAGGCGACATCCCCGAGATCGACAGCATTTGGATCTTTGTCCCCATGCTTCTCGTTGCCATATCTGTCCACCACAACAGTAAGACCCGGTCGCGCCTCGTTCTCGGCCTTGTCCAATTCGCGGGCTACCTCTTGGTGAACCTTGGCTTTGAGTTGGGGATTCACCGCATCAAAGGTCAAGGTGAAAATGGCATCTATAGGCTTGTGATCCGATGAGAGAATACCTTGGTGGGACAGGTAGTGGTCTAAATGGATTGCATCTTGCGATTCGTGTGATGCAATCGAGGCTGCATACTCTTCGCCTTGGTCTTCGTCTGAGATGTACTCCTCTCCGCTCTGTGCACCGTCGGTATCAGGGTCATATTCAAACAAGACATTGTCGTCGGCGACGGCCTTATCCAATCCGCGCGCCTTCATCTCCTCATCCCTCTTTCGAGCCTCCGCGGCTTCCTGGTCCAGCTGCTCGTGTTTTAGCTTATCCCGGCGGGTACGGTATAGAATACGATCACACCAGCTGGGCCCCCGATACTTTTCGCTAGAGTCGAACGTGGCCACACTTCCAACGTCGTACTTGTACGTCGGTAGGAATGAAATATGGCCTTCCCGCCATCCCTTGTGGAAGGCTGTCCCCTTCCTTTGCTGGAGTCGCAGTTGATCATGAGGAAGCAAAGAGGAGATTGTAGTTTGAAGAGATGCCGGGTCGTTATGAGGATCGATTTCTTCATCGGTGACGGGATTCGTGTCCTCTTCTTCGAGGGCAGACGGGTGCGGCTTATCTTCATCAGAATCGGTATTTGACTCTTGATCATGGGCTGCGGCCTGTTTCGCCTGGCGCGCTTTATCGTATGCATTGACAGTGTGACGGGCAAGTACCTGACGCACATCTTCACCAGGAATGTCATCGAGGCGATAGTTAAGGTCACCAAACCAGAAAATGAAGTCTTCATCTCCGATGGCATCGCCCGACTCATCAGATGCACCAATATCGGACTCGATTGGCTCAAACCTAGTGCGTTGTACAATCTGAGAAGAATCCCAATTGCGACGCTCTACGCTGTTTTTGTCGGATCCTGCTGCCAGGTGGGAATTCACAAAGACCAAACGAGTCGTCTCGCCCAGGACAAGACGTGTTGCCACGGCACCCTTGTTGCCCATATAACCCATTAGCCCTGTGCCAACAGAGGTACTGCTGACAGACGAGATGCTCTCGTCAATTGCAGGCGATGCATAGATTAGAAGTAACAGTCCGATCAGCTGGATCTCGGAGACGAGCTTATATCCCTTGGGCAATGCTTTGTGTACCGCTTCCTTCCATCGCTTAGATGGTGCCGGGTCCGCGTAGGGTCGCAGTGCTTCTGCTGGAGAGGAGACATCAACAATCTCTTGCAGGCCTAGTACGTAGAGATCGACCTCTTCGGGGCTGCAGTGAAAGGGAGCAGTCTTGCCCTCGATTGAGTCTGGGCCTTCTCCCGGGGCAAACTTCGAACCAGAGAGCTTCTCGGACACCCCTTCGCCTTGGACGAACCACTTTCCAATGTCCTTCTCGGTGCCGGAGATCGAGGCAACGTTCCATGTGCCAATTTTGACTCGGATATTGCGTTTGCGCGTGTACTCCGCTCTTCTTTTTCTCACGGCACGCGAAAGTGATAGGACATCGAGTCCTGGGTGCTCAAGTTCTTCCGCGGATTCCGACTCGTGGCCCCCGTGCTCTGACGCTGTCGGCGACGACGTCTGCTGTGAGTTCGCGCTCATGTTGGAAATGAAATGTAATTGAATCAAAGAAATGCGAAAGCTCTTTGCATGTCTTGAAAGTGTTCAGGTGTCTATTGGCATATATATGGTGGCCTGGTATATGCATAGGCAGCTGGTGTATCGGCTTGCGGTTCTTAGATACGGCCGGGGGTGGTGATAAGCTAGGAGGTTCGTCACAAGTGGTAAACAAGGTGACTATGATTATTTTCAGGTGAATCGAGAGAAATGAGAGGGTCCGTTGTAGGTTGCGACAATAATCCGATCATCGCATCGTAGAGGTCAAGGTTCCCGGGACTCGTGGCGTCATCACATGAGGGTGCGAGAACGTGACTGCAAGATACCGTAAAAGAACGAGCCGATTGCCAACTAGGAAGCAAAGTGAACAGGGCTACGAGTCGCAATTGAAAAAGAAGAAGAAGTTTGAAGAATGGCGGGGAGCTCAGGACGGAAAGGCGGAGCTCAGACGATGACGATATGCCGCTCACCTCAGCGCCTTCCACACAACACACTCTCTGCACGCAGAAATGACCTCTCGCAAACCCCGACGCCAGAACAATCACACTACAACCGACTATGAATCAGACACTGCATATTATTCAGACATGCCGCAAGCTGCACCCCCGCTCCGTTCCAACGAGGAACTGAACCTCTCAGTGATCCGCCGCCACAAGCCCTCCGTGACCTCAATCCTCTCTCTCGCCCCCTACGCAGTCGTCTACATCTTCAGCCCAACAAGAAAACAGTGGGAAAAGAACGGAATTGAAGGGACCCTATTCGTCTGCCAGCAAACCCAGGGCGACCTAGGCGAAGAACGCTACAGCGCGTTCGTGCTCAATCGGCGCGGACTCAACAACTTCGACCTCCCTCTAACGGACGGCGAGAATGTCGAAATTACCGACGATTACGTTATTCTCAAGGCAGACGAAAGCGCCGAAGGCGAAACAGGTCAGAATGGCATCGCGGACCCCTTGCACCCACAGAACATCACCAGCAACAACCAGAGCGGCAACAACGTCCGCATCTACGGTCTCTGGATCTATTCCGAGCCGCCACCGAACTCGACCGCCGAGGCTCGCACCATCAATGCTGAGATGATCCGCGAGTGCGCTACCCACGCTGGGCACAGTATGAAGCTCGCCCGTGAGCGTCTTGAGGCTATGCGCCAGTCCAATATGCATTTTGCTGCCGCTGCAGCTTCGACACAGCCCGCCCCGCTGGAAGAGATTCAGTCCAGTGTGCCCATGGGACGACAGGTCTCATTGAAGGAATTGTTTGGTCAACAGCGCGCTCAGGATGATGGGTGGAGTGTGCGTGCGCATCATATTAGCCCCGAGCAGCTGGCTCAGCAGGGTGGTTATCAGAATATGATGCATCAGCATATGTCTGCTCCTCATCCGCCGCCACAGCCGCAGGCAGATGTGCTAGGTGATCTATTTCGGAGGGCGGGATTGGCGTATCAAGGGAATGGACAGGGATAGTAAGGCTTCGATGCTTCGTTTCTTTGCTCTTGATCATTTGTTTACAGGGCGCTTGGATTATGTGATTCCTACTGCACTTGGATGACTTTATCATCTACCATCTGGGAATGGGCGTAGCTATTCTTGAGATACCCGTTACGATCTGCACCAACGGCGAAATTCATGGTCTTCAGTTCTCACTTGCCAAGTAAACGTGTAATATGTTCATGTTTTTACCATCTAGGTAGATTCTCAGCCCACAATCTGTTTAACCATCTCCGCAGTCTTACGGGCCATGATATCACTATGTTCTACAAAGGTCAGCGCAGCAAGACAAAATGAGAAGCAAGACTCACTCAGACAAAAAGCATGTGGCAATTCCTCCTCACAAACCAACATAGTCGGTCCCTGCCCTTCCTTACGCCCCCGCATCGCAATAATCTCGTCCCTCGTCTGATCAGCGACCCAGTGATCTTTCCGTCCAAAATAGAAGAACAACTTGGTAAGAGGCTCGCGCGCCGTTGCGGCACCCCAGACATCATCACTCCACTTATCAGAAGTGATAGTGCGCATTTCATCGGCAGCCATATGTCTATATAGACAGTTAGATCATAAGGAAAACACCATATCATAGAACAATAGAACATACAGAGCCTGCCTCACACCACCAGAACTTCTTAAAAGGGAACAAGTCGCATCCAACGCATGAGACGGGGGATCATTCATAACAAACCGCACCAAAGCCCGCAAAATAGATGCCGGAAGCAGCAATGTGAGCAGTCTCGCGAAGAACCCGACTACGGCGGCGAATCGAGGGATTATTGATAATAGGGTCTAGACAGGTCCCGGGATTAGCCTAGTGCAAGACCGTTTTAAGAGCAAACCAAACAATACCGTCAATTTTCGTCCAGACGCTGAAGCCGCAATATCGATAACAGTAGGGAAAAGCATCGCGCCGCCGATAATATCAAAGTCGCGTCCCTCTCCGGAATTAGCCTCGCGATGGCGGCGTAGGATTTCCATGGCGATATATGCACCAACAGAATGTCCAATTAGAATGACTTTCTGTTTGCTTCCAGTGGCAATGGGATTGATTCGCATAAGGGTAGTAAGTTTCCCTTGCACGAAGCTGATCTGATCTTCAAGGTCTAAATCCAAATCCCAATCGTCGGACTGGCTCTTTTGGACTTTGCTTTCATGGCTAGATGAGTTCTTTTCATCATTGAGCTCGAAACCGCCGAGAGAACAGCCGTAGATTTGAAATGAGAGTGGATCATTTCCATTGTCATTCTCATTCTCTGGGGTTAGATATTTTGATAGGAGGGATAGGAATGGGTGGTAGTAGCCGATCAGACCTGGATTGCCGGAGATGAAGAAGATTGTTGTTTTGGGGGGTTGGACTGGGTTTGGATTGGACCCTGTGCTTGTGCAAGTGCAAGTAAGGAATGTGTCTGGTGTTATTTCTGGCGACATCTTTGGGGGTTCTTTAGGTGTAGCTGGGGTTGTCGGTTGATGGTAGGGTAGGGATTGGATGGTCTCTGGCTTGGTAAGTGGGGATCCGGATAGAGTAGAGATCAGCTGGGGTATTACAGTATCTGGAATGTGGCTTGATCATTGGTTATTGATCATTGATTAGATTGGGGATCATTGTATTGGGATTGGGCCCGTTTGAATTGGAGAAGTTGAGGTCGAGCTCGGCTAGTGGATCCAAGTCCCCCATGTGAACATCTACTGTCGGATATAGTTGCCGCCTCGACAGACAACAAAGACTTGGAAAAGACGCTAACAAAGAGATCCAGAGTATATATGTCTAGTCGAGGAGAGCTCTATGTGGGATGTTTGCCGATGTTTTTCTGTACCGCCTGACAAGGGCACATATCTTCCAAGCCTTACTATAAGACACACTACAGAACACCAAGGCAAGAAAGCAAGAAGATTGCAGGATATATTGCCACACGATCCGACTCCCCTGGTCGTGGTCTAAGCCCAACCAGAAAAAAAAAGAACAAGAATAGGCCACCACAAGGCCAGTTCCAATGCATTGCCCAGAGACGCCATGTACATCAGCCATTCAGTCCCGCTAATTCGGGACACGAGAGAAAGAAAAACCACATATGGCCAGGCGAAGAAAAAAGAAGAGCAGCCTTCAAAGAAGAAAGAAGAAAGATATCGCCTGAAGAACAGCAAGCAAGAGATAACAATGGGGGAAACCCGCAACTGTATCTGGTATCTAGGTCATTGGAAGCAAAACACGAAAGGCTGCTTAATCCAGGGAAACAAAAACGCCCGGCTTATGGGTAATAATTATCCACCTTCGTTACCTTGACTCTCGCCGCGGTTCTCCTTTCCATTATTCTCACTTGTGATGTCTGTGCAATTGTCGCCTTCTGACGTGGGGGATTTGGTTGTTGATCCGATGTTGATGGCGATTCTCTTGGGCGCAGCGGTGACACTGCTTAGAATCGGTGTGGCTCCTTTGTCTGCCAGTGATCCGATAGACATGGTCTTTTTCCGATTCAATATCCCGGCGCCGGAATTGCTGCTTGTGGAGCTTCTGCGTTTGGGTCCAGCGGAGAGTTTGATCAGCTCGTCGTCGTCTTCTTCTTCGCGTCTGCGCTTCTCTGCTAGTCGTTCCGGCGGAGGAGTTTGAGCGGTTGGTGATGCCGCTGGGGCTTCTGTGGGGTCCTCGGGTTGGCCAGTCGCTGGCTGGGCCTTGGCAGATTGCTCTGGACTTTCTGGTTTGGTGTCCATGATATCTTCGTCGTCATCGTCCGGGTAGTCAACCAGCGACTTGACAGCCGGAGAGGCAGATCCGTTTGGAGGCCCAACAGTGATGGTTCCACGGTCCTGAGACCACTGTTTCTTGTCAGTTTCTTTTGTTGTTCATATAATCCAAAATTCACGTACCTCGTCTTCGTCATCAGACGTGTTGAAGTATTCATCTTCAGCAGCGTCCATTTCCCTTACTCCTTGCCAACGTTGGCCGTTCATGGGAATCCGTCGAGGGGTGCTGCCTTCGTCCTGGCTGAACAGTGCCGAGTCAGCCTCGGCGCCGTATCCCTGCCCTTGCATTTGGTCATATCGAAGGATTAAGCTTTGGAAGGTATCAACATAGGTGATGCTTTCGAGCTTTTCACGATATTTCTCGACCACGTGAGTGATGAATGGCTTGATGTTCTCCTTCTTGATAAACTCGAAGAGCTCAAGACAGGCCGAGTTGAGTAGGTTGTCCCGTGGCATTGTTTCATAGACGATGTCAAGGATCAATCCAAATGTGTTGTTGTGTGTCATGAGAGCTTGGTAGAAGGTATCTTGAAGACTGATCAGGGTGCGGAAGAATTTGAGGGCGACTTTATCAAGATCAGTACAATGGTCCAAGCTTAGATGGAAAGGGCTACTGACTCAGCTTCAGGTGTTTCTGGGGTACCCGCAGGAGCTGCGCAACCTGAGGCGCGAGGGATTCGCTCTGGATGGAGTTGCGCGTGCGGAAGAGGTGCTGGCGAACGAAAAAGGTGAGGATATCAACAAGATGCGAGTAGAGGGTGACTTCTTGGAATGTCAAATCATTAACTAGAGAGATGTTAACAACTTCTGCAGGCCCAAGAATTCTGGATACTTACGGGTTGCGCGATTCGCAAGCTGTTTGAGGGGTTGGAACAGCCGCTTTGAAGACTCATCGAAATGCTGTTGGACAAATGCATCGGAAAGAAGATTGTTAGTGCGGACTTTGAAGTAATCGGGACCAGCCCGACCAAGCGGGTCCTGCAAGGGAATCTGGGGATCAAGGAGAACCTTGATGGCATCGGCTAGTTGGTTTTTGACACCAAGGTCGGTCTCCACGTGGAGAAGATCAATCAAGGTGTCAGTGAGAGGGGTCTTCTTCTCGTTTACAGCCTTCAGCATGTACCCTCTCATCATGACCGGATCGTGATCCAGCAGAGCGACAAGAATATCAATGCCTGTCGTGCGCATGGCCGGATTCATGTGCTTCACGGCAAAGGCAATCACAGCGAACAGGCCATGACTGATGAAATTGGCGAACAATTGGGCCCGCGATTGGACCTGCAGGTTCTTCGCAATGCCAGCGCACTGGTGAAGGAACTGCACAGCATCATCCTTGCGCCTCGCGTCCATGTTCCTCGGGTCAAAGACAGAGAATAGCTCTCGCAGAAATGGGCCGTTCCCTTGTATATGATTCACAATTTCCATCTGATTGAAGAAGATCAACGAGTTGAGCACTGAGAATGTCGGGTCATCCAGAATCCGAGCCAGCACCACGTCTTTAAGGTATTGCAGCCTCCAAGTATTGCGAATCTTACGGCGAATGATCGGGTCCTTGATCGGAACGACTTCCTTGTATCGTGACTTGTCGGCGAGATATTGTCGGTGGTTTGCCTTGTGCGTGGGGAATTCGGGGTCATATTCCAGAGCTCCCACCACCCCCAGGATGACATTATCGGCGACAACAGTTTCGATGATGCTATTGTCATTCAAAAGGATAAGAGACTTCATAATGTTGCAAAGACGGTGCAGGTCGATTAAGCTTTCCAGATCCTCAGCCATTTCAACTAGCGGGACCAACTTCGAAATGTATTCGTCGCGAATGATGTATTTAGATAGCGCATCTCGACCGTTTTGTGTCATACTCGCGGCTCGTACAATCTGTTCGATCTCGGGGAGGTGGCCAAGTTCGGGGGCTGGTAATACGATGGATTGATAGCTTTCGAGGTCGTCGGACAAGGCATCATCTAAAGAAAGTTAGGGACTATCAGGCTCGAATGCGCAACACACTTACCAGTAGGCAAACTGAGAAGATGTTGTTGGACGGCATTGACAAAGTCCCTTTGCGTGGTCAGCTCGCGCGCGCGAAGATTTCACCCAGCTTTCTCACCAGATAACAGCACAACCCTCTGCCTCCTGGAAACTCAGCGCCATATCCGTGCCATTCGGCTCTGTCCATACGATCAAAGTCTCTGGTCGCGTGATACAGACGTCAGCAAAAACAGATTCTTCCGGGCGGAGATGGCGGGATAGAAACCTTGCTGCTTTTGGTAGCCCTCATCCTTGCCTATTTTCGTTTGAAGCAAGATGCGGTTGGGTTGATCTTCAGATTCGACGAATATTCGAGGCTCCTCCTAGATAAATCGCGATCAGCAGGTATTGATGGCGATGGCGCTGATGCGCGTCGGGGTCGCGCGATGAAATATCGGTGCGCGCATCGCGCCAACTTACCCCCATGATCTGACCCGTGCAGAAACCGGTTCCCCGGTCAAACCAGTCATTATCCCTCAGCTCGTAGACCTTGACTCGTTTGCGACCGTCGGGCGGCTGTACTTCCAGCGCCATGATCCGGAAACAGGGAGAGGCGTCTCGTCACTCCGGGCCACAGCTGAGAGTGCACCCGAGAGGAGAGCCAGAGAAGGCGAAAAGTAAAAAGTAAAAAAAGAGATGACCCAGATTGTGAAGAGGATGGCGGAAAGAAGGAGGGTGGAGATCCCAAAGATGATGAAAGAGTCTGCGGAGGGGATGACGATCGGGAACTCAGGTCCACCTGACGGCCTCGGCAGGTTCACTTCAAAGTCAAGATTTGCCCTGGGAAGAAGGGAGGGAAGAATTTAACACGCGACCGGGAAGAAAGTGGGAACTTCCGGATCTTCCAGAACTTCTTTACTGTAGGCAGACATCCATAACCTAGATAGGTACCTAGATAGCTACCTAGGTATCCCGAGTCTATGCTATCTAAGCTACAATGTACATGTAGTGACATGTTAAGTTAGTTAACATAACCTAACTTGCATACTAAGAACATACAGTATGTACCTGTCTGCTTATACTTTTACTCTGCCGAAATTAGGCTTCTTTGTGGTCTTCCGTGATCGGCGAAGGGGGAACCTTCTCAGGGGTTTCGGAATGGCGTCAGTATACACCTTAGCTTACTACATGCATGTACAATAATATATGTACTACCTTCAGACTACAACTGTGTAATCGAATTTAAGATTCGTCTGTAAATCTATAAATATTCGCAAACCCGCATGGATCTCCACCTAAACCTACCATTACTCTGGTACATGCCCTAGTATGCCTGGTACGTGCGAAGTACCTCTCATTCCGGCAGCTCTTCGGCCTCAAGTCAAGTCACTGCCCCGTACCTCTGCTTCCAAGCCTTCCAGATGCTGACATAATCACCCAGATAGGCATTGCCGCTGCACAGACCCTTACCGCCTCCACTAGCCTGGCTCTTATTGGCCAGTGCTATCGACATGGCAGATTCTTATCGAAATGACCCGATTAGGAAAGGTTCCAGGCCTCGGCGCGCTTTTCTAGTCTTGATAGATTTTTCTTCCCGTTCTCACTTTCCTGTGTGACGGTGTTTACTGCCTTACACGAGCGACTTAGGGAGTTTTGCGCTCGTTTACCTTTTATAAAGCTCCCTCTCCAGCAGCAGAAGTTACCCTAGACTGCGATCTGCGGATATCACAACCCCGCTTTCACGATTTTATGTTCACCATGTCTGAACCGAAGGACCAAGTCACCGTGCAAGAATCCACTGTGGGCGAACCTGCTCGCACGAGCTCTTCTGCTCAATCACTGCCCAAGGATGCTGCGGTGGCAGTTACGCCGAGCTCTTCCCGGGATGAAGAGACTGAGCGCCCCGAGCAGCCAGCGGACCAGATTGATGAACTGAAGAAGGGTCGCCTGGCATACTTTAAGACCAAGGAGTTTTACATTGTCCTAGTTTTAGGGTGAGTTCTGTCCTACCTCTCAAACTCGGAACTCTGTTCCTAATTTGTCTACAGCCAAATCCTCGCCATTGCCAATACTGCGACGGGTACCTTTACCACCCTTCTCGGTCAAGAGAACTGGTCAATCACCGCGTTCCAGACATTCCTTAACTATGTATTGTTGAACGCAATCTTTACTCCCTACACGATGTACCGTTACGGCTTCAAGGGCTGGCTCCGATTGGTTTTGCGTGACGGCTGGAAATGTTGGTCTTCTTGATCCCCGGCAACAGTACCCTGCTAACATCAATAGACATCATTCTTGCTTTCTGCGACGTGGAAGGCAACTACTTTATTGTGCTGGCATACAAATACACAACCATGCTGAGCGCACAACTAATCAACTTCTGGGCCATCGTCGTGGTCGTGGTCCTCTCGTTCCTCTTCTTGAAGGTTCGATACCACATCTCCCAAGTCCTGGGTATCCTAATTTGTATCGGCGGCATGGGTATCCTCATCGCATCTGATCACATCACCGGCACCAACGGCGGAGACATTTCCCACGGCAACCAGCTAAAGGGCGACCTGTTCGCGCTTCTAGGCGCAACCTTCTACGGCTTCACCAACACTGGCGAAGAATACTTCGTCAGCACGCGTCCCGTTTACGAGGTCCTCGGGCAGATGTCTTTCTTCGGTATGATCATCAACGGTGTCCAGGCTGGAATCTTCGACCGAAGCTCTTTCGCCACTGCCCACTGGAACGGCAAGGTCGGCGGCTACCTAACTGGTTATACTCTCTGTCTGAGTCTGTTCTACTGTCTCGCCCCGCTGCTCTTCCGTCTCTCGTCTGCGGCCTTCTTCAACATCTCTATGCTCACTATGAACTTCTGGGGTGTTATCATCGGTGTTGAGGTCTTCCACTACCACATCCACTGGATGTATCCGATTGCCTTTGTTCTGATCATTGTTGGTCAGCTCATCTACTTTATTGGTCGTCGGGTCCTCGCTGAGGCTCGTAAGCCTTGGCTCGGATCGAACCAGGAACGTGGTGTGGTCGGTATTTTCACTGCGAAGAGGAAGATTGAGCATGCAGTTCCTGCTACTACTGGTTCCAATGATCATTTACGTGATCATGTGCAGACTCCTGCGGCAAATACCAGCTCTGTCTGATTTCGTTGGGAATGATCTTTTTTTCCTTTTTTCTAAATGATCTACACAGAGAATGAACGGGACGAGACAGATAAACGACGATGTCTTTTGCTTTTTGGGGTTTGTTACACATTAATCCGTGTCATCGCGACCTTTGAAAGTTGCTGTGTGCTCAAGACATGTTATAATGCTTAATCTAAAATAATACGTTGATTAGAGCCACTTTTCATCTGACATCACTGTAGTCAATAGTTAAACTTCAGTAAACGATACTATGCTCTGCGTACGATCTTCATCTACCCAATGATTACGACGTATGCGTAAGTGGACAGCAATTGCTGAAAATCATACATTTCCACCAACTTGAACCTAGAATATATCCCAAGATCTTGGTACACAATTTGCTTGATATACAATTCTGTTCCTAAATGCATCCCCTAACAGCGAAACTACCGTCAATTGCATCTCACACAAAACAGCATATATCTACCTACGCACCCCAGACCTTCCTCTAGAAGTCAGGCAGCAAGCTGGTGTGGTGACCGCGGTGGCCGTGATGGGTGTGATGACCGAGATTACCATGATGGGCTTTAGGAGCTCCAGTGCAGGCAGAGAATGCAGCCTCATCGGATGATTCATCTGCGGGAATGCCAGTGGGAATGGCGGAGGGAATGGCACCTTCAAAGCCGGTATCGGCGCTGCCAGAGGCGGCGGGGACAACAGGAGCAGCGGAAGCGGCAGCAGAAACGACAGGAGAGGCGTTTGAGGCTTCGGATGCGGCGTCTGAGGAGACTTCGGATGAAGCATCTGAAGAAACACCCGATGCAGCACCGGAGGCGGCAGGAACGGCAGCAGATGAGGCAGCAGGAGCCACAATAGAAGCGGCCTCGGTAGAGGCGCTAGCTGAGGCGTCAGAGGAGGCGTCAGAGGAGGCGTCAGAGGAGGCGTCAGAAGCGACGTTGGAAGAGGCGTCAACGGAGGCAGTGGCAGTGGCAGCAGCAGCGGCAGTAGTGGCAGCAACAGAAAAAGTATCAACACTCCCAAGACTCAAACAAGCAACACTAATCTTCTTAGTACTCGACGAAGAAAAATCATCAACAGCCCGCGACAAATCCCAAGTCATACTAACATAAGGCCAGCAAACGCGGCCATCAGACATAGTCACCATATCACCAGCAACATAAACATCCTCACTAGAAATGGCCTCACCAACCTTCGCACCAGTCGAATCAACCTGCTGGAAGAAAGTACCGGCAAAAGTACCCCGGCATCCCATAGCAATGAAATCACAAGTAGGATTCGAGATCTCCTCCCAAGAAACAACAGCATTGGCACTACCAAAGGTAGCAGCATGCGCATTCGAGCAATCATTCGATCCACTCGTCACCCAATTAACCTGGCTATCACCATCCTCAGTACCAACAACAGAGGTAGCCTGGTCACCAACCTTAGTATACTTATCCGAGAACAACGAAATAGCAACATTGCGCCCATTCGTCCGGTTCTGCACATTCGTATACCCACTCCCCATCCACGCATTCTCAGTAACATCCATCGCGCCACGCGACACCCAAGCAAAGATATACTTCGTAGTCTCAGCAAAACGCGCAAGCGCACTGTAACTACCAGACATACCACCCATAGCCTCACCACCGCCACCATTGGTGGTGTTCTCGTTCGAGATCTTGACGCCGTCGGTGCTCATACCCTGAGTCTTGGTATTGAGCCAGATAGCGCCCTGGTCTTCGGCGCAGATACTAGCGAAGGGCGCTGCGTCCGCGGCCTCGAAAGCAATACCCGTGTTGTGGCTGCAGCCCCAGGAGCTGGAGGCGCCGGCGATGGTTACCAGGGTTCCGTTTGTTGAGACGTATTCGATGCTGTCGCCGAAGTGGCCTGAGGCGTCGCCTGAGTAGTCGGTTACCACGAAGTAGGCGCCGTAGAGGCCTGCTTTTTCGGAGTAGACCAGGTCGCCGTTTAGGTCCGGCGATGCCGAAAGTCCGTCGGAGGTGTGCACATCTGGTCCACCCAGCCAGGTCTTGAAGGTTTGCTTGCCGCTGGTGTAGCGGTACAGGACTGGGACTGGGGTGTTGCTTGGTGGGGCGTTGGTTGTTCCTGAGGGCATGGCCTCGTTGGTTAGGAGGGCGAAGCCATCGTTGTGGGCGACGAGACCGCCGGCTGGGTTGGTGTTAATTGGTGTGTTTTTTTCGGGTGCGAGAGAGTTAGGGCTAGCATACCTTCCTTTCCGCCGCTAACGGTGACGGTGGTTCCGGTGGCTTTGAAGGTGTCAGGGTCCAATTGCTGGACGTGGACATCTGTCGCACTAGAATCAAGGTACGCGATATATGCGGATTTTCCGTCTGGCGAGACGGCGAATGGGGTACGTCGGTGATGGGGATATCCAGTCCAGTACGATGCCTTCACGGGGTTGAAGGAATAGTCGAGTGCCAGCACGTCGACGTTGGTTTTGAGGTTGGACTTGAGCAGCGAAGCTGAGGCGCCCAGCGCCGAAAGCAGAGAAAGAACGAAAGTCCCACGCATGTTGGGTTGATAGTCGGTGGCGCTGCCTGTCGATTTTCCTGGATGTCGATGGGATCTGCACACTTTATATCATTCTAGCTCTATTTAGAGATACGGATACGGACACGAACATCAACAAATTATCACACGAACTATCACATCATTGGCGACAGGTGGGCATATGGACAGTCTAATTGTCTGGTGTATAGTAGAAGCGGATGGAAAAGGTACATCATCCGTGCCTAGTGAAACACTGTTTTAACGCCATCTACTTGGAACACCCTCTTTCTCCACATCCATACTTTCTTGGCTGAGACTACCCCTATATGCCTCATTCCTTCCAGGTTCACTCATTTCGGTGTCTTCTCGGGAGGAAAGTGAATAATATTGCTCCAATGACAGGGTCATATCCGGCAGCCCTACATGTAAGCGGAATTAAAGATGAAACCGGAGAATTACCACCAGGTGCCACAGGGGTCTTTCTTTCTATTGTACATGTAGGTTCTAACATAGAAAACGCTTGGAATGGGCTCGAATCGGTCTATTTTAGCCGATAATCTAAAGACAATTAAAGTTAAGGCTTAGAACCATATAACCATACAGCCGACCCTTGCTATTAATCGTCATACGACTCTCAAATCTAGATGGATTAATGTCACAATATGGCGTTCATTAGCGCTATGATCTCTGTCCCTTTTCAACATATCTCAATTCACTATCAATCTTCGTCGGAAAGAGTTGCCTAAATACCTCGATCAACGTGCCCCAAAGGATGAATTCTCATACTATAATGAGGCCAACTATAATTCTAGAGCAAGTGAGGCTAACATTGCTACGCCAAAATAGCCAGATCATCGGTGTGTCCCACACAATCAAACCAAAAGACAGGGCACCAGATCCGAACGCGATATCAGAAACCAGAAAACTAGATGTCATATACCAAGCCAACCCATCAAAGTGCCGGTAACCAAAGGCAAGGCCAAGCAAACATAAGAAAGGAGAGACAAAGACAAGAGAAGATAAAGCAGAAGCCCAGTCCCAGTCCCAGTCCCAGTCCCAATCCCAATTGATGTCCATAGCAGTGCCGGAACGAGATCAAACGAAGCCAAGTAACCCAGTATCCCAGTCGAGGTATAAGTTAGAAGCAGACTCCAGGTGTTTTTACATCTGCAATGGCATTATATCGTTACCAAATCTCACCAACCGAACCATGGAAAAGAAAGACAAATTAAAAAAACAAGAAAAATTAAATCAATATCCAATCAAAATATCCGTTTTGAGCCGCGATTCGCCTCTCTCCTCCATAGCAGAGGTAGTAAAACAGGCAGACCAACGTCCCAAAAAAAACAAGTTCAATGTGCAGTTCCCGAACCGACCCCCAGAAAGAAGAACAAAAAACCCTTTGCATATCCGACATGAAAAACACCGAGAAATGACCCACGAGCTTCGAAAATAAGCGCCATTATTCCGACCATTCCGCACGGGCACCGGAGCAGAAAACAAAAAGCAAAGAAGGCAAAAAAGAATCACAAGATGCTGACCCGAGATACGAGAGAAGACATGATATGATCCACAAGCGGACACCATCCGCAGACACCAAAGAGGGAAAACCAAAACAGCACCCACAGTCCTTTCCCAAGCCAGCATGAACCAACCAGAACCAAAACATAGAAAAGCAAAACCGGGCCGAGCGCACCATAAAACAACCAGCATCCTTCTGCCAAATGATATGTACCAGACTCGAAAAAAATCCGTTTGTCAAATTTCAAAGCAATAAAAGGGTCCGCTTTTGTTCTCACAACGCCACAAGCAAGAAAAATGCCAAGTGCAATACGTCAATGCTCACTCGGATTGCGTTGTCGGCTTAGCCCCAGACTGATGCCTGGACGCCGAGTCCGCTCTTCGAGCCCCAGACACCGCTGCCATTGCTCCAGCCGAGGCTGACACCACCAGCCGGGTCCTTGGCTCCGGGTCCAACAGCAGAAGGTACAACCGGGGTTGGACCGGCGGACGAGGTACGCTCGGTGGCAGGACCAGTGGCCGGGTCAGCAGAGGTGAAGCCGAGACCCAGCGGGGAGGGAAGCGGGGTGGTCGACCGCTTGTTCAATGCTGGGTTGGAGGGAGGAGCGGTAGTTTGACCAGGGACGGGGCGGGAACCGATGGGGCCGACAGAGCCGATAGGGCCGGCGACGGGCTTGGACGAAGCCTGGCGGGAAGAAGGCGAGTCGGCACTGGGCGACGAGGTCGAGGTAACGGGCTGCTCGCCAAAGCCGGCGTTGATGGCGGAGCTAGGGGAAGAGGTGCTGTTGGCGCGGGAGGGCGACTGCAGAGCTGCGTCAGCGCTAGCGGCGCCAGCCTGGGTCAGGCCGAATGGGTCCACGCCACGGGGGGAGGAGCCGCGCACGCCGGATGATGGGGTGGCACCACCGGCTTGGCTATCGGGGCGCGCGTTATCGTCGGAGAAGGCACCAGGCGGGAAGAAGGCAGGGCTTTCGTTGCCGTACAGGGCGCGGTGCTGGCGGGCGAGGAGCTCGCGGCGGCTGTCTTCGCTCACGGCAGCTGGGCTGGTGGAACGATCGGATTTGCTTGCGGACATTTCGGCGAGGAGGCCTTGAAAGGAAGAAGAAAAAGTATTAAAACCCCGTGTTCACAAGAGACAACAAAAAGCCAAACCAAATATATTACACAAGGCTGACAAGATATGGACGAATATGAAATGAAAAAGCCGACGGGGGAATATAACGAGGCTCAAGAAAAAAAATGGAAGAAAAATCAGACGCTACCACGTACTTCGGTTGTACTGTTGTTCCTGGTGATAATTGCGGAGTTCCCTCTCACGCTGTGCCGCCATCCGACGCTTCGCCTGCATCATTTGTTCCACCTCGTTGGGACGACCCTGGTACCGCTGTGAAGCGTAGAAGCCCTGGGCATTGCCGGACGGGGGCATCCGCGAGCCATCGAACTCGCTGATCGAATGGTGTCGCTGGGGGCCACCACCCATGCGAGGGTCTGTCAAAGGACAAGTCAGAAACGCGTTCTGCGTGCCATTTGTACCCGCAACATACCGTAGTCAGGGTAGGGCCGGCCCATCATCATGGGCATCGAGTCCCGTCGAGGAGCATTCCACAGCTTCCCGCTCTTGACGAGATTGTCGATCGCACGGTCGACCTCTTTTCCAAACGTCAGCCATTGTTCATTGTGTCCATCATGTTTCCGGAGATTTCGGTTCGAGAGGCATCTCCAAAATTGAAATAGAAAGTGTATCCATACCGTCAAACTGAGATGAGAAGGCCGGGGAATCCTCGCGCTGGGAGACCGAGCTGGATCCTGAGAAATGTTAGTTGTGTGCGCCTCCGATCACCAAATTTCAGTCCATACCTGACCGGGAGGGAGGCACCGGCTGCTCCCACGAGACCTGGCGCGCAGCAGGTGCTTGCCAGCCCTGAGGTTCGTAGTACGAAGACATTGTTTCGAGAGAGACCGAAAGTGTTCAGGGGCAGAACGGCGCAGATGATCCGGAGGCGATCTGTCGAGACGAAAAAAATGTGAGTTCCGATCCACAACAAGTTTCAACCCAAACATAAACGTAAAAAAGAAGAAACACCGGGGTTTTTCGTGGGGGAATCCAGCAGGGTATTGAATATGAAAAATTCCCCGTCAGACTTGTGGCTATTCCCAAAACTGGAATGACCAAAATGACCGGAGTACTGTAGAGCAATCGCAAAGGAAGTAAACACTTACTAGGGAGGGCCTCTTGTGATTCTACCACGAGTCAACGAGGCAGAAGGGAATTTGAAGAAAAGGAGAGAGGGTCCCTATGGGGGTGTGGGTGTATTACCTTATAGAGGGGAGGAGGGGGTGTGTTTTTTTTTTTTTTTTCCTCTTACACGAAAAGGAGTCTACTTTTGTTGATGTACAACGTTGCTTTTTTATTATTTAACAAGTCTCTTAATAAGTCTTTTATTGGCATCTATATGACTGTCACCATACCTTAGAGACATCAGACAACATTGTATTCCTTTTTTCCCTCAGATATTCAACGCGGCAATTCCCGGCAACCCAAGTGTTCTTATTCGTCCAAGTCGGGCCCGGTCACCGGAGATTGGGATGTCTAAGCGTGCGCCCTAACGCTCGATAATTACTATTCTTTATTATTCTACGTTTTCTTTTTACTTGGAAGAATTCAACTGCAAAGGCTGTTCCCCACTTTATTGTGGACATTGACATTGTCCGGTACATGCACTTTTATATACCTTGTATCTTATATAAGACAATATTCCAGGCTCTATAAAACCACAGACTTTCAACCCCTCAGAACCGGATCCCGTCTGGCCACTGTACGATGATGCCAAACTGCAATAGGTCCCGCACGATGCAGTCAGCCTGCCAAGAGTCCCCTCTGGGCGAGGCGAATGTAGTCGGATCTGGAATATGATCTGCATGTATATCGATGTTCAATGGTCTGAACAAACGCATGAAATCACTATATATGGAGTATACATCGGCAAATAGAAGAATAGAAGTCAAGTACCCAGACGCCACTTCGAATCCTTCAACCCCAGCAATGCAATGCAATAGTAACATCCCAGAATACAGTTTGATGCGCTATGACCAGCCCATCTCGGTCAATTCAGGAGAGGTGGGGGACTTCATTTTATATTCTTCCGCAACGTCCGCGCCCCTCTGAACAAGATTGGCCCAAAATCCATGTACACACCCGGCTGCCAGTAAGCAGAATGTCCCCCCATGAAGATGTAAAGATGTGGGTGTGATCGGAGTGAATTGAGAAGAGGCATAGCTACAAGTATATCAAGATGCTGAGGAATATAATTGAACAATGAAAACTCACCAGCTTCCCCAGTAACCGAGGCTATACGGTTCAACAGCACAAACCCTCCGGAAAATGCGTCGCTAACACGATCCCGAACCTGCGTCTGCATTCAGCGTTACCCTGGGAGTCTAGAGCGTGGTAAAGATTCTTCCCCCTCGTCATACTGTACATGTACATGGGACTGTGCTCGGCCCAATCCAGTCCCAGTCATATTGGTCTTCCCCACGCGTACGTGAATCAAAGGCAGTGAGGTCATGGTGATACCCCTCCCAGCCACAGGCCATAGCTTTATCAACTCTGCTCGCCTGTTTTCTTTCCCCTCGAATGTTACAAAGAACTATGGGAAAGCCTCGTCCTAATGGAGTAACCGCCAATGTCAATGAACAAAGGCTACCGATCCCTGGCCGGTACTTGTATGGCCAGGACTGTGCAGGGGCTATTAGGCACAAACTCACAAGGTTCTTCTCGGAGTATCCCAGCTCGGGGAGCATAGACATGAAGCATCGAATAGCCAAATAACAAAGGATATGAATGCCTCAGGCCACAATCTGGATTAGGTTATAGTTGTGCACGTGCAAGGACCACGCGCGAGACGATCGCGGGGGGTTGAAGAATAGGAGAGAGCTAAGTGAGGGATAGACGTGTTTTATTTACTATTCTGGCCAAATAACAGCCTGAATAGCCAAGAAACTGCTATTCTTACTCTTACTCTTACTGTTAAAAGTCTGTGTTATCGATAACCCCCGTTATGGTACCTGCATGAATCCATAGCTGCATATATTAAGTTAAGGAGATAAATAGATAAATATGAGAGATTCAAACAAAGGACATGAAGCCCCTGAATACTGAGTATTCAATAAAAAGAGGGAGCTATTCCCCAATAGTGTTTCGACTCCGTGACGTTGACCCTATAATGAACTTCGGATTCTCTTCTCGCTGATCCTCTGATCCTCTGGTTCTCTGATCTCTGATCTCTGATCCAGTCTTTGATCCTCTGATCTTCCATTTATTCTTGATCTTTGATCTTATACTCGAATTTACATATGTTTGGGTGGCCTTAAAGGTGGACGGTCGGCAGTGTCTTTACCGCCGACAGGGGCTGACCTTTGATCATCTTCAACTCTCGAATTCCCCTCCTGGCAAGTCCACTTCTCACAGAAGGCTGGCTCCTACACATTCGCCTTTCTGTATACTGTTCCGTCGCATTCGCATACGCGTCCCTTGCTCTTGGTCGGTTTCTTTGGTTCAATTCAAGGAAACTCTCACTTTGACGTGACCTTTTTTTCCTCTTGTCTTATTCTCATCTCCTGGTCGAGGCATTGTCTTTTTCACTTCACTCTTTTCTCTTTTCGCCAGTCCCGGCCCGAGTCCCGGTATAAGTCGTCTTGCGACTGTGTCGAGATTGATTCTTCCGGTGTCTCACACATCCCACGAAATCCCTCGTGTCAACCCGTTCCTACTCGCCTTGCCCCGAACAAAAACGAACCTCACTAAATCCTTATACTGTGGTCAGTTGCCAACAGAGCAGACAGCGTGAACAGCGAGGGGTTTATATTGTGCGTGTTGGTGTGCGGGTGTGGACTCTTAACGATTTGCCGAGCCCGAACAGAAGGAACGCAACGCACAAGGACCGGTGAGGGTAGCTTGGGGGGAATTGCTATATGGTCTCACACATCGATGGGAATGCGAATCGTTCCCACCACGGTGACGTCCCACCGATAACGGGTCAGCCCTCCACGATGTCATGGACATCGCAAACCGACGCGCCCGAGATTGCAGCTGCTCGCCCTCCATTGACCTCGCACCAGTCGAATTCTCTTCCCTCCACCCCGTATCAACATGCGCGCAATCTCTCTTTACACTCTCGGTCGCCGTCCCCCGTCCGCGGAAGCACCTCCCCTCGATCCACACACTCTGAGGCAACACACCTACCCCCCTCTGCCCGGCAACCCCTCGGGCGATGTAAATATGAGACCGCCATGTCTGCATATCGAAGACGGATGCCGTATAGCTTGGGGGCAGATGTATTACCAGAGGAGAAGGAAGGGTTAAAGGAACACCTGGAGCCAGAGGAGGAGAAAAAATTGACAACGGATATCATGGACCTCTATGATCGGTTATTACCTTCTGCCGAGAGTGATGACCGAAGGCGACAACTGGTTCAAAAGTTGGAGAAGCTTTTCAATGAGCAGTGGCCTGGCCATGAGATCAAGGCAAATATTTTTGGCTCGTCTGGGAACAAACTCTGTTCCAGTGACTCGGATGGTAGGTGTCGGACTCGAAGTTGAAAGGAAACAATACTGATTTGGGCAGTGGATATTTGCATCACAACCAACTTCAAGGATTTGGAGCAGGTGTGTCTGCTGGCGGCAGTGTTGGCCGATCGTAAGAGCCCAATTGACATTGAACTGGCTGTGCATTGACTGACTTGGATAGACGGGATGGAACGGGTCGTCTGCGTGTCGCATGCGAAGGTCCCTATTGTCAAGATTTGGGACCCTGAGCTGCGGTTGGCTTGTGACATGAACGTTAATAATACATTGGCGCTAGAAAACACTCGTATGATTCGAACATACGTCGAGGTGGATGATCGTGTGCGACCATTGGCAATGTGCGTCAAGCATTGGACAAAGCGACGAGTTCTCAACGATGCTGGTAAGTAGTGCGCAACTGCCGCTTCGATGCGTTGACGTTGATACTAACGGGGTGTAGGTCTCGGCGGCACGTTAAGTTCATACACCTGGATCTGTTTGATAATTAACTTCCTGCAAACAAGAGAGCCTCCAATTCTCCCAAGTTTGCAAGCTCGTCCTCACAATAAGAGGATCACGCCTGATGGGTTGCTCTGCTCCTTTGACGACAATCTTGATATACTGACTCAATTTGGCCGGAAGAACCATCAATCCGTTGGAGAGTTGTTCTTTGAATTCTTCAGGTATTACGGTCATGAATTGGATTTTGAGAAGAACGTCATCTCCGTGCGAGAAGGCAAATTGATCAACAAAGACGCCAAAAATTGGCATTTAGGCATGAACAACCGTCTCTGCGTGGAGGAGCCTTTCAACACGTCAAGAAACTTGGGCAACACTGCCGATGATACATCGTTCCGCGGACTCCATTTGGAATTACGAAGAGCTTTCAGATCCGTTGCTAAGGGCGATATGGCAGAGTGCTGTGAGCAGTTTGAGTTCCCACAAGAAGAGGAGCGGACCTGGGAACGACCACCGCCTCAACCTCGGCCAACTCTTACTCCTTCGCTCCCGTCACGCGGTGGACGGGGAGGAAATCGTGGAGGCAGATTTGGCAACCAATCCTCGCGAGGTGGACTCGGCGGACGTCGAACGTCTAACACTGGAAACAAGGCAAACTTCCGGCAACCAAACGCCGGCAATATGCCAGATATCTCACTACAGGCACAACAGCAGGCCCAATATCTTTTGCATGACCAGCTATATCAGCAAATCCAGCTTCTCCAGGCACAGGAGCAGGAATTGCGGATGCAGCTGCACAACCAAGCATTGATCACTGGAAGGCCCCCACCAGTATTCATCCGACAGCCTTTCATCCAATTTCCCGTGCCACACCAACAAGATGTTGGCGATGAAAGCACACAGTCACGATCAGGGCCGGCCAGTCAATCTACACTCAGCCCAACACAGCGACAGCAAACATTCTACAACCCCAGTTACGCCGCAGTTGGCGCCGCTGGCACACAAGGCAGCACCACGAACCCTCCCTCCCCGTCGGCCGCTTCTGCTCTGCCTGATCTTGGCCGTAACCCTCGACGTGGATCTGTTGTCAATGGATCCCCCAAGTCCCTTCGAGCTCATTCGCAGCCTGCGCGCCCCCAAAATTCGCCCTCTCTTCCAAACTATATCCCCGTTTATACTATCCCACAACCTGCGGAGGGCTGGCCTAAACAACGGCCGGCTCCCGAATCATCAGAGGGTGGTGAAGGTAGCGGAGATGAGCACGCAATGCGATCAAACAGCCTTGCCAGCAATGGTTCGCGCTCGGATTCGGTCGATGAGAACCGGCCGCAAGAAGTTTTGAGTTATTACATGACTCCTCAACAACTGCAGGCCTTCCAGCAAGGTTCCATGATGTCACCGATGTCGACGCAAATGGGATTGCAGATCCCCAATGGATACTCTTATGTTCCCATCCAACAAGAGTACCGACAAGGATCGTTCTCGTCAGGCACTGCTCGTTCTGAGCAGAACTCAGCCCCCAAGCCTCCATCGCAGCCGGCCAAGTCTCCGCGGCCAATTGTGCCCGGTCCATTGATTGTCGATGGCTCGGTGCCTCCGAGCGAAACCCGCTCATCATATGCGTCGGATCTAATTGATCCCTATTCTGCCATCAGCCATTACACGTCGACCTCGGATGACCACAACATGAACACGCCTGCCAGCTTTTCGGACTCTTTGTCTCAGGATTACCAGGATTCTGGGTCCTTTGATGATATGGAGCACTCTACCGTCTTCACTCGGCCGTCTATCGAGACCCAAAAAGTGAACGGCGTGAATGGTGAAAAACCAAGCACAAATGGTCGGCCCGAGCTTCTCGCCGATCGGTTGCAGAACTACCATTTGTCAGCCGCCAAACTGTCTCAACAGCCTGCAAAGACAAGTCCGGAGCGACCAAAGAATGGCGCAGCACAGGGGACAAGCAAGGACTCTCAGCCTCGAAACTCAGGCACGGGTGACAAACCCGCTACCTCTGGACCGAATGAAAACCGGCATCAGACAACCAATTCGAAACGCCGAACAAATGGCGAGACATCAGACAAGACAAACGGCGTCAATGGCAAGGCCAAGCCCAAAGGCCGCCACGATGCGTCTCACAACACCGCCCAAGCTTCTAAAGACCGACACACCGACCACCCGCCCCGAAAGCCAGGCGGCCAGACCAACGGCACGAACGAGACAAGCCATGGCGGCTGGCAGACTACAAAGAAGAAGAACCGCAAAAACACCAAATCATCCAGCGACTCTCGACACGGTATCAACGGTGGCCCCGAGCCCCTCCCCGCAGATGAATCCCTGCGAAAAGGCGGCTGAACCCAAGCGTCTGCCGTGTATCGTTTCCTTCTCGCCATTCCGTTCCCCCCATATCCAAACACAAAACACAAATCCTATAAAAAGCAAGTAGACCTCCTGGTTTACTAACCCAACCTACCCATCCCACCAGCATACCACCTCGGCAGATCGATTGACAAACTGAGTAAACCTCAATCTCAATCTCTCCCGAAAATACAGAACGTCCGTCTCTCTTCCCCTCCCCACCCCATTTGAAGGATTGTACCAGAAGTAACAGGGAGGAATACCATTTGCATGCATTCATCATTGTCATTGTCATTGCCATTGTCATCGTCATCAGGGAGAAAAGAACAGAGGGTGGCCGGTACGCCTCATACGCATCGCGACGAAATGTTTTTCCGAAGCTGTTTGGAGTTCTTTTGTGTTTGAATAGGTTAGATCCAGGGCTCTTGTGTGTTTGTGTGCCTGATTGTGTGTGTGTTTTCTTATGATGCCATTTTCGATTCTCTTTTTTTCGGTCCTGGTTCTGTATAAAAAGAGATTAACTGCCCTTGTTGCCAATGAAGAATAACAAACCACAATTTTCGAAAAATTCGCATTTTCCTTCCTTTAATGCTTCTCTCTGCTTGCCTTTTGGTGTTTTGCTGGGCTTGTATATTGGGGTTTGAGGTATTTCCCGTCCATTTTTTTCCGCTTTGCTCTTTGCTCTTTGGCTTGAATGTGGATGTTGTGCTGTGTCTGTCTAATGGTGACTGGCCATATCTATATCTATATCCATATCAGTTTAGTATCGTAAAAAAAAAGAAAAGAGAAAAGAGAAAGAAGCACGATGGGAACGAACCTTTATCATCCTTTCTTCTAGCATCTCTGGTTTGAGGACTTGTTGATCTACACAATTTATAGCAGCTAGCGTTGACCCCAAAGAAACAAGAGGAAAGAAACAACAAATAAGAGAAAGTGAAAAAGGAAGACAAAAACCCATTCGTATAGGGCGTGTGTATTAGCGTAAGTGTACCTTGAAGAATAACCCGGAGTGAGGGGAAAGAGCCTTCTTTTTATAAGCTCTCATTTCCTGTCTGTTACTTTGCTTTTTCGTTGTTAGCATTTGCTGCTTGCTTCTTCTCTTTTGTCCGCCATTGCGCCATTCAGATGATTGTTGCCGTCATGGCTTTCCCTTGCTTTATGCTCGTGTGACAGTTGGAACGTTTATATTTTGATTTTGCAGGTTGCATTGTGCATTTTGTGGACGGTGGTTTGCTTTTTGGCTGTTTGCTTATTGGATAGGGGTTTTTTGCATATCTGATAAGGGGGTGTTTGTAGGTTCCTTGCAGAAGAGATTGGTGGTCAAATAAGGAGGATATGAAGCTCATAGATTGGGGTTGTAAATGATTTTTTGGCTTCTTTTGAGGGAGTAGTCATAATGGGGTGAAAGCGTTGATCTAGCAAGATTCGTATCCGGAAAGTATTGATATTGCATCATCTATCACTGAGATGACGGTGTGTATGGCATGTAATGTGGTATAGTACATAGTGTGCGAGTGTAGCACAGATCTCGCAATGTATCAGAAGTTAGAATACAAAATTAAATCACATAAAGGCGTTTGAAAGACAATAGGGCCGGAGGGGATATTAAGACGAAGGCCGAATGACAGGTAGAATCAACAATATGTTCACCAGAAAGGTAATGAAACGGAGGGAAAATGCTGGACAAAACCTTCCTATGCATCGCTTTGGGGAGGATGAGAGCAGGGTCAATACCAGATCTCTGTCCAGATGTATGGTAAAATCACGATGCAGGCCGTGTACAAAATCATGAAGGCGTTGTATGGGAATAGGAGGATCTGGGTCATAGGGGTTTCGCAGAGGAGGACCCAGATAGAGAGGAAAGCAACGGAGAAGAAGTGGGAGACGAGAATGAGAGGTTGCTTGATGAGACCTGCCAGTAGTCCTACGGGGCCTCCAACAGGACCAATCTGGAAATAGCGGAAACAGCCACGCTGAAGAGACCTCAGACTTCGATCTATATAAACTGTTAATTGAGGGATCGACTTGGGCCTGGAAAAGGAAGAAATACCGTCAGCAGCGAAGAGCGAGTACAAGGCCTGCGCAAGGATGTTGATAACAGAAGAGGAGTTCTTTCGTGCCCAATGGAACTGAGCAAGTTGCTTGAGAACAAGATCTGTATCGGAGAAGCTGGGTACAAGTTCTGGACTGAGCAATTCGCGGAGGACGCAGACATCGTTGAACGCCACCGTCATTCCTCCTCCCGTCAATGGGTGCCGCATGTTAAGCGCATCGCCCAGGATCATAAAACCGGGTGTCGTGTTGGTTGAGGCAGGTAGGAAAGAATTTGGCATTGATCGTAGCTGGCCTTTCTCTAATGCGTCCGAGAACGACGCCTGCGCGCCCTCCGGAAGCCTAGGCAAAATAGTGTTCTTCATATAGCCCTTGACACCACCATTTTTCACTGACGCCCCTGGGAGATTATCCGGAACATCGACGAGGATTCGAGTTTCGTGTGTACCAATCTGGTACATGAGCACAGGTGGGCTATCACTGAGAAGGACGTGACCGGTATTAGGCGCGGGAAGTTTAGCATCAATAAGCTCCAATCCGTAGAACTTTGAACGACGCTTGGGTGTGTATTTGTGGTGCTTTTTGCGGAAATCGGAGTTGTAGCCGTCGGCGGCCACGGTGAGCTGGCCAAAGTAGCAATCTTTCAGGTCCTTGGTTACACACTCCACACCCAGAACCTCCTGGGTATGCGACGATGTGACTAAACCAGTAACCTTGGTCTCGACCACAGTGACATTGGGACAGCTCAGGGCCGCCTGTCGGAGCTTCATCACGAATCGGCCATGGTGGAAAGCTCGTCCTAGAGGTGCCGGTCCTGACGAGGTGGACTTGGGGTATTCGAGGAGGACCGGCTCGCCAAAGTATGAAACCCAGTATCCCTTCACGTCAATTCCGTCAATGTCATCGAGGCAGTCGCGTAGCCCTAGTTTTTCCAGTGCCTGAACACCTCCCGGTTGGAGCAGTTCACCAACAATGCGATTGGGCTCTTCCAATGACTTTTCGAGCAGAATCACGCTTCTTCCTTGCTTCCCTAGTGCAAATGCTAGCGCGCAGCCTAGAATTCCGGCACCGACAATCACAACGTCGGCCTCGTGGTGTTCGATGCGGCGTTGAGCGGCTTGGGAGTGCGCGGCATGGCCGTTGACGGATGCCATCATGGAGGAGATAGGTAGGATTGTCAGAACAGAAACTCTGAGACCATTATCGACCGAAGCAATTGATTTAAAAGAGAATTGGCGATAGATATGGGCTGATGTTTTTCTGAGAGAAAGGGGTGGCGTGACATGTGAAAGTCTGCCCTCTCCGCCTTCTGAATTCTACGCAGCACGAGACATCACGGTATACAGACTTTAGACTCAAGTTTATAGATCTATACTCTGTTCTTTTCTTTTTTTACTGTTATTCCTCTCTATACTTCTTATTGATACAGGGATCTTGTACAATTATATTACATATATATCACTCCTCCGGCACGTAATATTTATCCCAGGTTTGGTCCCTGTAGATAGGATATTCGCGGTCTTCCGGTGCCACCGTGTGACAGTTCGCGAGGTTGTGCTCTGCCCACCACTTTGTCTGCTCGGCAGCATTAAACTGCTTGCGTCCTAGTAGCAAGTCCAACTCCCACTCTTCGTCAAATTCCAGGATCAGATCCTTGAGAGGGTCAGTAGGCAAGAAAGGGTCTTCCTTCTCAGGCCGAGTGAGCTGGGAGCGTCTCGACTTTTTCCACGCTGAGTCAACGCTGAGATTTGCCCAGTATTCGTCACCACGAGACTTGGCTTGTAGCACCTCAATGGCCTTGTGCAATGTGCAGAGTTGCTGCGTGGTACTGCCGGATGCATCGGCCAGCGCCTCGTCCAATGAATTCATCTGGGAGAGAGCTTCCACGACGAATTCAGGCTTGATCGCCTCTTGTCGTGATAGGACCGTCAGTATACACCACCAGACACCCTTGAGGTTGCGGAGCTCGCCAAAGGCCCGTAGCAGCAACTTCAACAGGACCTGATCAAACCCATGAGAGATCTTCCAGCGAGATTGGTAAATGGTCGTGAGAAGATCGACAGCAATTTCTGGCGATCCACCCTTGAGCAGGTACTGACTGTAAGAAGCCGCACAGAAGTGCTTCACATTAAGACCGGGGGTATTGTTGCAAATGGTGTAGTATTCGAAAATGGCCATCTTGATCAACCCCGCGCGTCCGACGACGCTTGGATCAATCTGCCTAACCCGCTGGAAGAAAACAGGGAGCCATGGTGTGAACCGCTTGCTGTAACGGAGTGTTGGAACCTTCTTCCAGTAATCCCACTCGGAGGTGATCATGCGTCGCGCGTTAATGAGGCCAGTTTTGCCTTCAAGAATCGAGGCAATCACAGCCAAGGATAGATGGAGCGGTCTAACGATAAAACCACTATTGGTGGCATGTTGATACACCCTCAGAGCATCATAGGGCCGGCCCATGTTAAGATAGTGCTCCATTCGCTTGTGGAGCGGGACGTACCAACTGGTATCTTTGGATTCCACCAAATTGTTCACTGTTTCGGAGAAGCTTTCCTCGGCGGGAGCGTGAATTGGCGCTATCTTCTCTCCTCGCACTGCCCAAGTCTCATAGCTAGTGCCAAGGATGCGCTGAGAAGAAGACGAAGACGCTTGTCGGTCCTTGGCTGCTTGCATCATTCGCCAAATTCCCACCGGGCTGTTGGTCATTGCGAGCCGCCTCGTTTTGAGAATCGTGGCAATTTGCTCATCGTCGATGCCGGTGTTCCATTCACGCTGGGTGGCCATCTCCGTGATGGCTTCGAGCATTTCCTCGGTGCCTTTTTCAACGATCGCTTCGATTATGTGTCGATGAAGAACTCTGTCAGGCACGATTTCAAATTCGTTGATGCATGAAATGAGCAAGTCGAATGTTTGTTCGCCCGTGTGAGTTGGATAGTATTCGAGGAAGACACGGTCAAAAGCGACAGCAAAGTCCTTCTTCTGCTTAGTAAATCCTGCATCGTGCATGGCGTATAACCCATCCATAACCCGATTCCAATCACAATTGAGTGCCCTGCTATAAACGATCAATCCAACGGTGCGGGATCCAGGCTGCACATCGTACTTGGTTGGCATATCTTGAACCAAAACCTCGGCCTCTTCGGAACGACCCGATTCAACCAAGGCTTTGACCATCGGATTAAACAGCTTTTCGGTTGGTTTTCGCCCAAGGCTTTGAAGACTTTCAAGAATCCTGTCAAATTCTGCGTTGAGTAATTCGATACTCCTAGTCTTCCTCCAGAGACCATCAAGGTAAGCCCCGCACAGGCCGCAGTTATAGTCATTCTTGAAGCGCAGGTGGAAGAGATGCTTGGCCTCTTCCAACCGCTTGGACTCGATAAGGCACCGGAGAATAACCTCCAGCAGATGGGTAGGGACAACAAATTTGGAACTGAATCTTTCATAGAGGACACCGACAGAGTCGATATGGCCCTCTTTGGCGAGTAAATGCATGAGGGTGGCCCACATCTCCTCCGAGACAACACTGATATTGTTTAGTCGGTTGAAGAGAGTTCGAGCAATGAATATGTTTCCTTTGATGCAGTTTGCGGTAAAGATATGACACGCAAGTTGTCTCCGTTCCCATGAGATGACGTCCAAACGAGCGGTGGCTCCCAGAAACAAGTTCGCAGCAGTGATCTCCAACTCCTCGCTCATCAATCGACGAAGTTCGGAGTCTAAGGGGGGTATGCCCTTTATCTGAGCGTGTTCCGCTTGGATAGCCTCCATGGCCAGAATTTCGTTATTCCGAGCTAAGCTCGGCCCGTCCACATTCCTCTTGTATTGGAACAATTTGATCGGGTCACTCCACGACTTCTTCTGGCGAATATGTGCTTTTGCCAAGGTGATCATTGGCTTGGGTTTGGGATTTGGATCACGTCTTATTTCGAGAGTGTTCGATCCTGGTTCTTCGGGGCCGGAGGTAGCTTTTCGTTTGCTAGTCTTGAGGGATTCGATTCCCATGAACTCTCCCGCTTCCGCTGCTGCGACCATCACTGCAAGTCGCTTGGCAGCAGATGTTGCATCATAGTTTGGTGCGGTGGTGTGTATTGTTCGTTTGTTTTCAATGATTTTCTCGGCGATGCGGATTCGGCGATGAACATCGTACGTGAAGGCTGCTACAGCACAAAACCCGCCGACTGTTGAACCGGCCAGGGCCAAATGGCGGAGAACTCGAAGGGCATTCCGAGAGGGTACGAGAGCGGAGGGTTTGGAGTGCGGAAGCATGGTGAGAATGCTGGGCGCGGGTTGCGCGCATGAGTTAACAGCGGTGCATGGGTGGCCTTGAAAATAAGGTGCAAAGTGAGAATAGCCGGCCAGGTAAAGCCCAAAAGCTACCAGAAGGAAAGAAGATGGTGGTTCGGGGCAATTGAAGCTGGAGGAACAGGGTAAACTCGGAGCAACTGCTTTTTTCCGCAATTCAACTTGCGCTTTAGGCCAGTGTCGCCCGCCGAAATCTCATCGTACGATCTATACAAGCCACTCCTAGGTTGTTGTCTAAATTATTTACTTGATGCTTGATGTTTCCGACTGCCTCATCCCTGTGTGTAGTCAAATGAGAAGTATTCTGCGCCTATCCCAGATTATATTGCAATTATATTCTATCTCAAAAGAGCGTCATCCTCATCATCACCGTCTTCGTTTGCTTCAGCTCTCACATCTGCAGGATCTAACTCGGATCTTTCAAGGGTAACTAGTAAAACAATTAGCTGTTATCCTATCCCAAAAAGATAATCAACATACCATGTGGTCTGATCAACAGACTTGCGAGGAACGCAGCGCCAAAAGTGACCGCAAGGGCCACGAAGACTGTCTGGGGCAGGGTTGCGACAGTCAAGCTGTAGATTAGATTGAAAATAGTCGGCGCAACAATCCGAGCAAGGGCATGCAAGAGACCAGTAGCACCAAGCATTTGTCCAATCCGTTCATGGGGCACATGCTTGGTGAGTGATGATTGCAGAATAGCCGACCCCATGCCACCAAGCGAGGCGACTACACCAGAAAGGATCATTACCGATGGATGCTTGGATAGGGCATAACCAACAAATCCCAACACATCAAACACGACTGATAAGCGGATGAGAGTAACGTCCAGCATATCAGAGCCTCGGATACTCCCGTCATCCTTGACTGGGGTGCGGCAGAGCCAAGAAATCAATGGGAGCACCACGAACAAATTGATCACACGCGAAACGTTAATGATGGCGATGAAGATACTGGATTCCACGTTGCCCCAGTTGAACATATACTCGGCATAGATAATGATGATCTGAGCAGTGCCCAATGCGATTCCAAACATAACTGTGTCGATAGCTGCCAACAGTACAATGTTTCGCCGCAGAGCCGGGCTGGCGCCACGGCGATTAGTGAACAAGACGCTTGGTCGTCCGACTGCCGGCATAAGGATAGCAAGAGGCGTGATCAAGTTCATCGGGTTCCAGATACGCCAAGAGTACCACTTAGGAGCGTCAACATCCGAAGGGTTCAACCGGTGTTTTTCGCGAGCAGCGAGCTGCCGATCCTTAGACAAGGATTCAGGAACGATGAAGAAGAGCGACCCGCAGAACAAAGCATGTAATGCCAGTGCAATATAAAACACGGGCAGAGCTCCCGCGTAGTTGATGATAAACGCAGCGACACCAGGTCCAACTGCGATTCCAAAGAATAAAGCGCCGTGGAAGAAACCAAATGCCACGCTTCGCTTTTCGATGCGCGTGCAATCCGAGGCGTAAGAATGGCACAGAGCCTGCGCGGTAGTAAATGAGCCGCCCAGTCCATCCAGCATGGCTCCAACAAGAAGCCAGTTGACCGACATCTGGTCAGGCCAGGTAGCCACGATCGCAGTGATGACCTCGTTAAGCACCGCGCCCAGCGAACCCAGTGCGATCATTTTGGTTCTTCCATATCGATCGGACAAGTGGCCGAGTCTGGGACTGACTAATGCGGAGAGTATACCCGTGATGAGGTTGAGATACAGCTGGAACTGCGCGACAAGTGATTGAACTTGTGGGATGTGACATTGACGATTGTCCTCGCCAAATACAACAGGAAGGGAAGTAAACCCGGGGTCTTGGGTTGACTTCTCTGCTAGATAATCCCGGCAAATGAGCGACATGATCAGGTTGATCCTGGGCACGGCCATTCCGCCAATGCCCAGCGTGAACAGAAGGCTAAATGGGAGGAGCCACCAAATCTGTCATGGTAGAGATCAGACAATTGAACCTAACGGCTTTTGCAACCACTCACGGTCGGTCTCCTCCATCGCGGTCGGTCATCTTCGACGCGGTCTTCTAGCGGGGATTCCCCGGATGGCCGGGGAGACAGCAGCGCGTCATCCTCTGTAGGAGTCGCACGAGCGCGTGCCCGAACGTCTATCTCGGGCTCGCCCGCAAAGAGTTGCTCGTTCTCCATGATCAAGGTGACATGGAGATTGAACATGTACAATTGCCAAGTTCCAAGATATTTGCATTGATTTGTAATCTTGGAAACTTGCACCAAGGAGGGGAAACCAGGATCCTAGTCTCTTATCAATCGTTCTAGAAATGTACAGCCAATGAATTCGAGATTTCAGGTAATTCGCCTTTCTCTAACTTCCACCTTGACTGCCCACTATTCTGCATTGCTCATTCTCCGAGATGTTGGCGATTTCAATCATTCTTCCCCTGCAGCTAACTATAGAGCCGTTTTCGCATCACCAAAACTTCGAGTTCACGTACCGAGAAGTTATTAAACCAATTAACGTTAAGATCGACCTAGATGAAGCTATCCGAATGTTTACAGCTCAGAAAATGCAGGAGCTGTTGCTCTCTGAGGTATCGGTGGTAAGAGGTGAGTTTGTCTAATGGGATTTTATTATCTTTTATATGAAGATCTTCTGCGTATTTTTCCAAGACATCGGCCAGGAAGAATCAGGTCACCAACCCATATATTGCAGCTCAAGAGGTCGAAATAGCTAAGTTGACACTATTTTTATAAAATTTCGTGCTTCGCTCGCCGAGCCTGAGTAAATCAAGATATGTACTCAATTCTGCCGGATTTCCACTTATGCTTGTAGGAAGACTGAAGAATTCAAACAATGCCAGGAACGAGAAGGCACGAACGTCAAGTGCTCTGCCATGGCATAGGAGCCATTGGATCCTTCCGCCCACATGTGTACACGACATATGGTCAAGCCCGGAAAGGAGGAGAGGCGCAGATACAGATAGGAAAATGTTGGATGAGGAAGCTGGATATCTGGATGAAGTTATATTGAAATTATATCTTGCAGTAGCTATATTTATTGTCTTATAGTAAACGTGGCAATGGCTGTCAAGCATGCTTGGTACCTTGTCGGGTTTCTCTTAAGTTATACGGGGAACGTGTTTCCCCTCTATTATCTCTCCACATTCTGAAACATGATCCTGGAAACTGTCCATCGTATATTTTCGACGCCAATGAAGCGGTCGACCATAGTGATAGGCCTTGCAAGCGAGGCAATGGAAACCCCAGTCCGGAGATACCGTTCCAATACCGAAGAACGGAGCACGAATAATGCCCATGAAGCGCCTGGGATTAGAGCAATGTCCATCAAACGCATCTTCAGACCTGGGCGGCAGTAGATTCTCTCTGTCTGTTCCGCGGAGAGCCAATCTCGAATTGTAGGCCTGTAGCCTCTTCGATGCCATTTTCGATGCGTAATTTTCCATGGAGCTGAGGGACCCATGGACAGCGATTCCAGCTTCTCGCGCAGCAGAAAAATTGAACAAGGTTTCTCGTTGTCGACGCTTGATCCCCCGAGGCGAATAGCGGCCTGGAAGACTTTTCATGCGAGGTAAACATGCCAGGTCTTTAGAGCCGAGACCAAATTTGCGGATTGCATCATTCCGTGAGAGAGGAAGGTAGTCGGCTTCCTCGGTGAAACATAGTAAACAAACGCGATGACAGGTGACCAAATACAGGTACCCACCGAAGTCGCCACAGCTGTCACACTCAGCTGTAGATAGTTTCTCATACAGGTCCTGGCATGAGAAGAATCGTGCAGTTTCTATGTTGAGGCACCCGCGAATTGATGCTGGCGCGTGAACGAGAATACGCTTATACTGCGGAATCGAATCTGTTACCAGTCTTGCACTTTTGTTGACGTGTCGAAAATCAGCCAGTGACCGCATGTCAAGCTGGATAAGTGCCAGATGGATGATTTCAAGAGGGAGTTTATCTAGCCCCAAGACCGTAGCGCGGGAGATGAAACCCGGAGTTTTCATTCCAGTGACAAGAATTGGCAATATCGTCTAGTGTGTTGTCCTTGATGTCGAGAAAGATATATGTGGACTCGCTTGTTTTACGAATAGCTGCCATGATGTTGTGATCGGTGGATATCCTAAACCCCGAAATTTGAGGGGAACTTAATCACATAAAGAGTTGGAAGAAGGGAAAACGTCGTCTCGATAAATGACTAGAGATACAAGAATTAGTTGAGAGATTTCAACGAGTGTAAAAGCAAGGAGATACTTTAGTTAGCAGTTGTGATCCCGAGGCTTGGCAAGCTCAGATCCCATCCTTGGCAAGGTTCCAACGGGGTGGGTGTCTGTATCAATCCCCTCTAGTATAAAAAGCACTAGGCGTTCTGGCGCGCGGGGTCAGATACTAAGGCGTAGATTAGGTCCGAGATCTTCGAAGCATGTGCTGGTCATTGGCTCGACGCCTTCGATTATTTGAATGAATATAGGACTAGAAATGCATTATGCTGTACAGTATACCCGAAATTTTGTCGCCAAGCAACGCCTCCCAAAGCCCAGTATGTATACAAATGCACCTAAAATACACCTCGATCTGACCCATGGGTTGAGATGATGCAAAAAGGTTCAGCTACAACACCATACTAGCGTTGTCCTTGCCAGCGAAGAATTGCTTCTGGCCCAGGCACCGCTCACTCTTGCAGCCCTGGCAACGAAGAGTCATCTGGCGGGAACAGAGCTCTCCCTTTTGAAGATGTTCGCGGGCAATGTCAGCAAGTGCCTGGATGAAGACTGGGTTGCCGTTCAAGCTCTCTGCGCGCTTGACGCCGGGGCTGTTGGCTTCATGGATAACCTCCAAGTCTAATTCGTACAAGGTTTCGATGTGATCGCTCGTAAATGCAATGGGGACCAAAACCAAGTCCGTTTGTCCCTTCTTCACGTACTCTTGCACGGTATCACTTGTCTGGGCTCCGAGCCAGGCCGAGGGGCCGACCTGAGACTGCCAGCACAGGCGATAAGGGTTGCTGAAGTTGAGTCGTTGCATGACAGCATGAACTGTCGCGGCAACCTCGGCGGGATACGGGTCACCTAGACAGGTTAGCAGGATCCACTGAGAAGCTATGGGTTGACCTACCCCGGTTGACAACACTCATAGGCAAGCTGTGAGCCGAAAATAGCAACACAACCTTATCCCGCTTTTCCTCAGGGTACGTCTTGAGCTGAGCCTCGATGTTCTGTGCAAAAGCCTCAACAAGACCGGAGTGGGAAGGCCATCGGTCAATGACACTCCACTGAATTGTACCCGCAGGGTCGGTTTCGCCGTTTGCGCGCTTTCCCTCCAGGCGATTACGCCACTTCCACAATTCATTGAGCGAGCTGCCTGTCGTCGAACAGGAGTATTGCGGGTATTGCGTAAAAGCGACGGCACGTCCTCCCTTTCCGTTTCCAAATCCATCGGCGAGCAGTTGCTCATACATCGTCTCGGTCAATGGGGCGGCATAGCGGAATGCTACGTAAGGCTTATGCGGTGCGGTTTCCGGAGAAATCTTATCCAAAATCTTGCACATCTCTGCACACTGGTACTCGGACCATTTCCGAATGGGCGATCCGCCGCCAATATCCGCATACTGCTGTTGGATTTTCGGGGTTCTCCGGCGGGCGATGAGAGGTCCGATATATGATTGGAGTCGTCCGAGGGGAATCAGGTCACCATCGGCCTGCAAACAATTGTGTCAATATTTGAACTAGATATTATCACCATAGATATTTCTCGACACATACGAATAGTCTGCTCAAGAAGTCCTCCACCTCGTCTGTCGTTGAGGGACCACCCATGTTCATAAACACCATTGCAGTCGGGCCCTTGGATCCGGTTGCTTGTGTGACAGGGGGGACCACTGTCGCGAGTCCTCGCTGGTTGGACATACATGACAATCGACTGGCAATTGCTGGTCGTAGTCCGAATGAGGTGGCATTCGTAAATAACCGTCGCGGCGTCGCGAAAGGGGCTCGGAACGCCATAGCTGGATAGGAGCGGATTAAATAAGAAAAGAGAAAAAAACAACGTTATACACGTTCGAAAGGAATTGAGAACAGAGTCGACCGATGCGCACCTCGGAGCTGATGTTCCCGGTTTCCCAAGTTTGCCTCGGCCAATCAATGTGCGGGGGACGTCAGCAGCTCCAGGCAGCTCCAGGCATCAGCGTCACATGACCTCGTGTCGCCATAGAGCGCGTCTCAAGAGGCATTGAACTTGAATTGACAACTTCTCACTCCCCCACTGCTTCATTTTTAAACATGGCGAGTGAGAATTACACGCGTGAGGAGGACAACCTTGAGGATGAAGAGCTCGATGAGACGGTGAGTGCCAAAGCTGAAGATATAGTGGCCTTCTATTGACTTGACCTGAACAGAGCTTCAAATCGGTCAAAGATGCTGTTCTCTTTGCTATCGATATCAGCAACTCGATGCTGACACCTCGGGCATCGCTTGATCCCAAGAAGCCTGTTGAGGAATCACCTGCGTCTGCCGCCTTGAAGTGTGCATACCATCTGATGCAACAACGCATTATCTCCAATCCTCATGACATGATCGGCGTCTTACTCTATGGCACACAATCATCCAAATTCTACGATGAAGATGAAGAGAGTCGCGGCGAGCTGTCATACCCGCACTGTTATCTCTACACGGACCTGGATGTTCCATCTGCCCATGAAGTCAAGGAACTACGAGCTCTAGCTGAGAAGAAAGAGGAAGCGCTGGAGATCTTGAAGCCATCAAGTGAGCCTGTTTCGATGGCTAATGTGCTTTTCTGCGCAAATCAGGTCTTTACTTCCAAAGCTCCAAATTTCCTGTCTCGGCGGTTGTTTATCGTGACCGACAACGACAATCCACATGCAGATAACAAGGCATTGCGGTCTGCTGCAACGGTTCGAGCGAGAGATTTGTATGATCTGGGCGTTAACATTGAACTTTTCCCTATCTCTCAGCCAGACCACGAATTCGACACCTCTAAATTCTATGATGTAGGTTGTTCACCTCGGTTATCCAGAATTGTATTGACGAATGGCAGGACATCATCTACAAAACATCCCCCAGTGACGGAGATGCCCCGGCATATTTGCAACCAGATACCAACGTGTCCACAGCCAAGGGTGATGGACTTTCACTGCTCAATTCTCTTTTATCCAGCATCAACTCGAGATCGGTCCCCCGGCGCTCCCTGTTCTCAAACGTGCCCCTCGAGCTGGGCCCCGATTTCAAAATATCCGTCAATGGATACCTACTCCTCAAAAAGCAGGAGCCCGCACGAAATTGCTTCGTCTGGCAGGGAGGCGAGGCTCCTCAAATCGCCAAAGGCGTCACCACTTTAATGGCCGATGACACAGCACACACAGTCGACAAAGAGGACATCAGAAAAGCCTACAAGTTCGGCGGTGAGCAAGTCTCGTTCACAATCGAAGAACAGCAGGCATTGAAGCACTTTGGCGACCCGGTGATCAGAATCGTTGGCTTCAAGCCACTGTCAGCGCTGCCGATCTGGGCCAACGTTAAACACCCATCGTTCATCTATCCCTCCGAAGAAGACTACGTAGGCTCAACCCGAGTCTTCTCTGCGTTGCAGCAGAAACTCCTCGAGGCCGAGAAAATGGCTTTGGTCTGGTTCATCCCTCGCAGGAATGCGTCACCAGTCTTGGCTGCTATGATTGCTGGAGCTGAGAAGATCGATGAGAATGGTGTACAGAAAATCCCACCGGGCATGTGGATTATCCCTCTTCCCTTTGCGGATGATGTTCGCGAGAATCCGGAGGCTACCTTGAATAAGGCGCCTGATTCGTTGATTGATTCTATGCGTATGGTTATCCAGCAGCTACAGCTTCCAAAGGCTGTATACGATCCTTCAAAATACCCCAACCCTTGTAAGTTCTGTCATATCCCTCTCCCCTCCCAAAGGTTAAAACTGACTCGAAGCAGCACTTCAATGGCATTATCGCATTCTACAGGCCCTTGCCTTGGAAGAAGATATGCCCGAAAGCGCAGAGGACAAGACCATCCCCAAATATCGTCAGATCAACAAGGTGAGTCGCTTCCAGAATCTGCGATCTCGAATCGCACTGATTAACTCTGTCTATCGTAGCGCGCGGGTGAATATGTCCTCGCATGGGCCGAGGAACTAAAAGACCAGTCATCCAAAATGTTCGGCGGAACCGCGGCTACAAAATCAACCCTGGTGAAACGAGGTGCGAAGGAGGAAAATGCTGAAAGTCACCCGTCAAAGCGGGTGAAGGTTGAGGGTGGTGGCAACGACTTGGAAAACGATGTCAAAAGAGCCTCTGAAAAGGGCACCGTGTCCAAGGTAAGCATATCACATTGATGGTACTTTATATGGGGAGGACATCGATTTGACTAACATAAATTCAGTTGACGGTGGCCGTTCTTAAGGAGTTCTTGAATGCACATGGCCGTGCTACAGCGGGCAAGAAGGCGGATCTGGTGGAACGAGTTGAGCAGTACTTTGAAGAGAAGTCCTAATCGCTGGCTATTTTCCTGAGAGGTGTAGCTAAGTTTAATGCATTACGACTGTATCCTATTTCTGTTTACATATCTCATGGTCGACCGATTTTTAGTCCAGTACTTTGGCCATTATCCAGGGGGGTTCAATCCCCTATTGCTGGCTCTCGAGCGTGGCGCCCACGTAGCCTTTCTATAGCTAGCTAATGGCTATCAATATTGCAAAACAATATAGCGACGTCAAGAGGGCTAACAAAACATGTAGCCATAGTTGTTCTAAAAGGCAAGCTCGAAGAGCCGTGCTTCGCAGGCTCCGAATATCTTGTCTATATACATGAGAGAGCCAACAAGGTAGCAAAAATATTAACATTGTATCTCTAAAGGAATAATCTGAAAGGCCACCTATGAACGATGGAAAGCACTCTCATACAGGGGGGATTTGCCTTCAGCGCTTGAACGCAAATGAATCTCTACCCCAAGCAACACACAAAATCTAGATGATAAAACGAGCGAACGAACTCCAAGCCAAGGGATGTTTGTACTGTCGGCAAATGCACATCGAAAGAGGGCATGTACAAGCCGTGCGACAAAATGTATTAGGCACGTCTCCCAGAATATGTACAATAGCAGCCCTAGTCATGATGCTGGGTCTGCGATAAATGCACAGGTTGAAGAAGGGGGTCAACACCTCCCGTAGACCTGGCATTGGCATAGCTGTTCATCGGGGCAACTGTGGAGCGTTAGGAAATGTCCAGATAAAGATAGGCTAACTGTAACTTACTATACACCCTCCATGCCAAAGATAATATGCCACAAGAACTCCATCACCCTACCCGAAGATGCGTCGTTCAATTCCGTATCAAGAATCCATTGCCGGATCTTGACATAGTCATTCAGCGGTCGCTTCTGCACCTGATCGCGCGAAACGGCAAATTGCGCACAACATGCGGCGCCAATCTCATCAGGCTTGCGGATGTATTTATGGCCACCGTATTCCATTTCCCAGGGCGAGGACATGTTCAACGGAGGGGTGCTCGTACCCTCGAAAACATCCCACCAGATCTGATCGGTGACATGCTTGTTGAAGCGGTGGGAACCCTTGCAGCCGGGATTCCAATTGCAGCGCAGGTTGACGTAGCCGTTTCGCTGGACGAAGTCGAGTTGGAGATTGCGCATGGCGATGACGTTGTCGTGGAGCGGCGCATCCACGTGCCAGGCCATTAGGAAGCCTGAGCGGTGTGCGTGGAGGAAGGCGATTGTTGCGGGCAGGTTGTTGTAGTTGTCGATTATGTAGGTTAGGTAGGCCATTGCTTCGTGGCCTTTGTTGAATGGTGTCATCAGGGCGTTGGCGTCGGATCGTGTTTCTCGGGAGGGGTTGACAATGTAGATTGCGCGTTGCCAGCTGGTGACATACAGGATTAGTACTGGTTTACGGGGTAGAGGTGGGATCGCAGGCACTCACTCAGGCAGTTCTTGTTCTACCCATTCGGTATGCTCCTCTTCCAGCTTGGCCATCACTATCACCTTGTCCCCCATGGTGGAGTCGGCGTATGTCGGGTTCGGAACGGCGCCAGTGCGATCTAACCAATTAACCAAGTATGCGCCAGCGCGATATTGATTACAGAGGTCTTCGAGATGCGCCTCGAGGAGATATAATGAGAAAAGAAGCAAAGAAGAGACGCATATCACTGCGAGACGTATTCCACCCCGCATGATGAAGAAGGTTCGAACACCAGAGACTTTGGAAAGGGAAGCCCGTGGTTGTAAATTTCAAGGCGCAGACAATCGCATTCAAGCCATGAATGGTTGACTCCCTTAGGGGCAACCCTTTTCCAATATGAGAAAGGGAGAGCGATATTTCGAAATAGGAGTATCAATAGTCCCAAAATAGCAAGGCGGCCGAAGGCAAATTCGAAGAGGGGCGAGGCTAAGGCTAAACTGAGTCAAACGGAAGGCGCAGTCGTCACAGGTGGTCGGAATGGGGAAAAGAAATGAGGTTCAAGGAAGACACAATGGCAAGAACAAGAGATTTCAGAGAAATAAAGATAAAAAGGACTAGAGAGGGGGGTCAGCTTCATCCCCGGGCTAAGAGAAGCCAGAATGTCATTCTTGCCGCATATCATTGGCCACCTGGGGCGTAAACTCAGGGGAGCTGCCTTAATTGAAGCCGGGGTGAAAGTTAGGGGCCGCTCTGGCCCCTGGTAGCGAAAGCTTGGCTTTTGGGGCGCGTCTAACCTCTTTCATAGGTCGAGTTTGCGCTTGAGCCATGGTCGGACGGGTGAAAGGCTTAACGTGCCGCGGGTGGACATTCCCTGCGGCCAATCTGTAGGCAGTTCGAGTTGCTGTACCCACCGACACGCGTGTGCTTACTACCACGGATTCCACGTGGCGTTCGCGCTCAAACTGCCCTTTTTGACGTGGAGGATAATGAACACTGGCGATTGTCCTCCACCAGGCTAAACAGTAGTCTCGCATTGGAGTGAGTCTGTGTCGCTAGAATGAATCAACCCTTAAGACAATGGTCTGTGGGCTGTTCTTTGGGATCTTCGAGTCTCGCACAGCCTCGACGGCCCCAATGATCGGCCTTGCAAGCCATTGATTGATCGGCTTCATCGCGAACCAAACAGTTCAACGCATTCAGGGTCTCAAGTGGATTCTGTGCTTCCTTCGCGGCAGGCTGCCTATGACCGCCCCGGGCCCACCGATCAGCAGGAGCAATGATGTGGCCGCTTTGCTGGAAAGGAATAAATGTCAAAGCTGATGTAGATCTGTCTTGGAGAGAATGTGAATATTGCATTGCGAGCGCATGTAGATTTTTGAAGTTATTGTTCTGCGCAGCCTGCGTTGACGATTGTAACTCATGATGGTCAACAAATTCTTGGCAATTGTGTCAAGCGGAGACGCAGACGAGTTAATTTCTAGGTCCGAGCGGTTGGGATCGACATTTGACCGTACAGATTGTACAGGTACTTAATCAGTGTTGCTTTCTGCTCTTTGAGCGGTAATATACCCTGCATCTCACCCGCGATCAGATATCGTCTAGCTTGGGAAGACTGCGACGAAGCTATCCATGTGCGCAATCTGCCGCTGTGGCTATCGAGATGTCTTGGCTCATCTCGTAAAATGCAGATCTCGTCGTCATTAATTAGAGGGGCCGGGTGATGCCTTGGCTGGCTTATTGAGTTGCAGGTCAGAGACTGCGTTGGAAGAAAGACTTTCCATGCCATGTAACTTGGGCGTCACCTACAGGTACATCTATCTGTCATGGGCTTCAGTACATGTATCAATGCCGAGTCCAGACATATTTACACATTTATTGGCTCTCATATTCAGTGCCTCTGCTACAAAGGTTGGCCGAGTCTAGCGTTTCATGCTATACATGTACCTAGACACCACGCCTCGACATAGAACTCAATGGTTACAGTCAGATACTTGATTTGCAGTCCAGCTGCTGTTCATGTTCATTATATGTTACAACCATGGATGTCTTTTCCACCTATTCACTTTCCTCCTCCCCCTCTTCTTCGTCGCTAACTTCCTCTCCATTTGCAAGCGCCTCTTCGCGCAACTTGCGCGCACGTTCCCGCTTCTTATCCAGCAAGGTGCTGAGCTTCTTTGCAACGTTGAAGACACCGCCAGTCCCCGCACCGCAGGCTGCACATGTGGGGTTCTTCCTGTATCGCTGCAGAGCACATGATTCACAGAAATAGTGGCCACACTTGGTGATGATAGGCTCTTTATAGGGCTTTCGGCAGATGATGCAGGCAAATGGAATGTTCTCCAACATCTCGTCCTCGTCCTCCTCATCATCCTCGGCGGCTTTCCCTGCACCGTTTCGTTGCGACACCACTCGTCCGTCTAGCTTCTTGCCCTTGGTGTTGACCTCCCAGTCGCGATCCAGCTCCCATCCTGCCTTGTAATCCTCACGCATGTGGAGGTACTTGCAAGAATCTCCGTAGCCACAGAATCCAGTCTGTTTCCAATCCTTACACACATCGGGGGCAAAGTCGGTGACGGTGATTGTCCGGACGTTGGTTGGCGCTTTAACAGGACCAAACTTTGTCGGTGCGTCTGGATTCTTTTGGATGAAGTTTTGGTAGTTGGCTGCGCCTTTGTAGGTGCCGTCAGGCTCTGAGGTCGAGGCAGCCGCAGAGGCTTGTCCCGGTCGTACTCTAGTAGTGCCGAGTAGGTTCTTCGCATTGAGGTCTTCGTCGTACCAGTCGGAATGTTTGGTTGCGTCGTTGCTCGAGGTCAATGGGAGGGGAGCAGCGGTGGTAGGCTCGTCATCAGGCTTCCTCGTCATATTTGCTGTAGATGATGCTGTCACAGCTGCATTCTTGCGCCGCCTCTTAATCCGCTTGCCCTCATCATCATCGGACGAGGTGAAGTCGGAGTCAGAAGCTGGAGGTGGCGTTGCGGGCTTCTTGCGGAAGTTGGCTTTGCCCTTGGACCGCTTCTTAAAGGCGACCTGGGGCACAGTATCTGCAACTGTTTCTTCAGTCATTATGTGTGTCTGCAAGCAAAAAGAGCTGATTAGAAAGAAAAGAAGGTCTCCAGTTGTCGCAACAGCGAGATATCGAAGGCGGTGGAAGCGATGAGTAAGCAAAAGTGGCAAACATGACAAACATCAACGTCTCACTTTGGGACGCGTTGGATGAAGAGAAACACAAACGGAAGTATAATCTTATTTATTGTTTACTGTAAACACTTAAGACTCTTGTATATCTAACATCCCTCGACATTGTACTGTAGCCGATCGTAGTTTCTGGGGTAGCCCACTTCATCTCAAATCTCAAACACCGGTGCGATTTGGCAATAACACCACGTTCGCTCACTCTTCTCTTCTCTTTTCTTCCCCGCCTGAGCCAAACTCGACCAGTCTTATCAACTGCCTCTCCTTTTTTCCCTTTTCATTTTGTTACTGATTCGCTCTATCCTTTCCTTTGTTTTCTTATTTAAAAGCCGATCAGGTTGCGGCGACATCTGCAGATCCAACCACTTTGTTATGGTTGGTTGACACCTACGCGCGTGTGTCTGGCCAAGGTTCAGGTACCGGATCTCACTGATTATTCGCCCAAAACTCCTCGGTGTTTATTGTTTAACTCATTCGACTTTCCCCTCCTTTACTTCTTCTACACCTCCCGACGGTGTGCCTTACACCCATCGCATCGGCGCGCGGTAATCTGAAACATCTGGTCGCTGGTCGGCTCGGCGATTGGCTTACAACATCTCCGACAAGATTCCGGCAGGTGTTCGGATGATGCCCTCCGTCTAAATCTGAAATAAAAAGATTGACGCGCGACTTCCTTGCCTCTCATCGGCAACTGCATCCTCGTTAACGAGAGGTGTCAGATGCCGTTTGAGGCCCCCGAATTTCGGATCATGACAGCACCCAACCCTGAAGACATCACCTCCTTTGCATCCATGGAAGACCCCTTCGTTTCGAATGGCGGACGGCCAGCCCCACGCGACGCCCACCGATATTCGTCATTCGATACGCAGCTGTTTAGCCTCAATGCATCTTCGCCAGCCCAGGCCAAACGAGCCCTTGAGGCTCATCTGGCGGAGACGGAACGTCGATTAGAGGAAGCCTCGAAATTGGGAACAGCCCTAATCGATCAGCAGCAGCAGCTATCGGAGCAGCTGAAGGAGGTCGAGCAACAGCAGGATGAGGGAGAGATGGGCCCGGAATTGCGACGCAAACTCGCGGACCTGGAGAAGGAGTATAATGAGATCGGTCGTGAGTCGGCGCGGGCATTTTTGGGGCCCAAACGCCTTGCAGGGGGAGAGGAGGCTCAGCTCGGAACGCCGTCTTTTGATCAAAAGGTACAACCTTGGTTGCATGCTTGCACTTGCTTCAGCTCCTTCGGCTACTCGGCCAGACTAACATTGAGTTTTGGATAGTCACCTCTAAGCCCGGCTTTGTTCGCCAGTCAAGCCACGAACTCCCCTAGCAAAGTCAGCGTTCCATCCCGGAAGCAGCGCAATCAACAGTCAAATCGTGTCCACGATATCGAATTTGCGACTGAGATCTCCACCTCCCTTTTGGCTCAAGTCCGCCAGCTACAAGCTCTTCTCGCAGAACGGGAAGAGACGCTCAAGTCTGTTAATCTGGAAAAGTCGCGACTTGAGTTGGAGGCCGAGGGATATGGGCAACGAATCCGGGCACTTGATGACAGTGAGCAGCGCTACAAGGACGAAAATTGGGCACTGGAGACGCAAGCACACGAGTTGATGGCGGCTGCTAGAGAAGCTGCAGAGCGTGAGAGTCGACTCAATACCGCGCTGACCGCGTCAACTTCTGAAAAGAACGCCATTGAACGGGAATTGGAGGAGCTACGGCAAGCCAATTCGAGGTTACTTGAGGATCAGAGCTTGATGCAGAAGGCAAACGATGCAGAAATCCATCTTCTACGCCGGAATCTGAATTCTGGCGAGCTGGAGAAGTCTGCTTTGCACAAGAAGCTCGCAGAAATGACATCTCAGAATCAAGAGCTTGCTAAGGCTGTTGCCATGCGTTTAAGGCAGCACGAAACTCAGGGCAACCGGGATATTGCTTATAATGATGATGATGATGAGCCGGAGCAAATCACACCTGAAAGTTCCCCGCCACCCTCCCCTAACAAGTTCACTCCTCGACATGGCCACCTGGAGTCCGAAACCTTGAAGAGCTCGCTTGGTCACGCTCACCGCATGATCCAAAATCTTAAGAGTACCATTCATCGTGAGAAGACTGAGAAGATCGAGCTCAAACGCATGCTGCAAGATGCCCGTGATGAGATTGAGACACGTCGCCGTGAGACTACTGCTCCAAACGGATCAAGCAAGCGACAGAAGACAAAGACAGATTCGTCTCGAAAGCCTCCTCGTCCAGACCTTCTGGGCGCGGGCCGCAAAGAGAAGTCCTTTGTTGAACTTCATGATACCGATTGGGAAGATAACGCCGGTCAGATCAGTCCTACTCACAAGCCTGCCATGACCAGGTCGATGGGTCGCCCTGGCACAGTGTCCCCCGATGAGCCCAGTGACATCTACCAGACAGCCACTGAAGCTGAAGACGGATTTGAGACGGCAAATGAGCGAGCAACCGCAACCGAAAGTGAAGCATTCCAGACCGGCGTGGAAAGCATGGCGGATGACAGCAGTGACTCGGCAGATCTTACTGAGACTGAGAACAATGTCCAAACAACTCCACGCAGCCGAGGTCCCTCTTCCCTGATGATGTCCAAGACTCGTGATCGCGATTCTTATCACAGCACGGCTTCTGCCTCTACCGATGACGAGGATTATGATTCAGGATTCCCCTCCCCAAGCCAAAGACATATCTCCCGGCCTCGGGTCAAGTCTAAGCGAAGCATGTCAAGACGCATTCGCCCATCCGGGGAGGCGCCATTCGCCTCGACTAGTCGGCCCTCAAGCTCTCGTGAATCACCCGCACCTACGTTTGAGCGAGCACCAGTATCTCAAGAGGGCCAGAGCCTCTTTGCTGAACTAGCAGAACTCGAAGGTGGCGATGAAGATGAGCAAACTTCTCAGGCTTCTACGCCGCGCATGGAGGCTACACCAGGCTCACGCAGACCTTCAGAGGCCATGTTGGACGCGTCGCCTAAGCCTATTATGGTTGACTCTGGGGTGATGACCGAACCTTGGGAGCATACGCTTCCCATCAGTGCCAATTTTGCTACTGAAGCTGCTCTTCCAAGCACGCCGACCCAGCCAACAGCAGACCGAGGAGTCGCCGAGGAAGCACAGGCAACGCCAAGACTGGTCAGCGCAGGAACACAGTGGACACCGCACAAGCCCTCGCCTGCGGATGGTGATCATTTGGCTAATGTCCCTACGCCGCCAAAGATGCTCTGGGATGAACGTTCGGTTCAAGAGGCAAATGCCCAACCTGAGCTGCCAGAAATGGGCATTGCGGACATCTCTTCCGAACAAACCACGCCTCAGGCTCCCAAGCACCCTGAGCTAAGTGTCTCCTATATCAACGGCGGCATCACCGCTCCTGTGAAGCATGAGTTCCCCGCACCGGTGATTCCGGAACTGACCGTGTCTTCGGTCTCATCACAGACTACCAGTCCCATTCTGCCCAAGCTTCACGTGCCAGAACCAATTATCAAACATGTGGATGTCATTAAATACGTTGAACGCGAGCCAGAGGTGCCTGAGCTGTCCTTCTCCTCTATCACCACTCAGACCACGGCGCCTGTTCAAGCAACTCTTGCTTTACCAGAACCCGTCATTAAATATGTGGATGTAATTAAACACGTCGAGCGTGAGCGCGAGCTGCCCGAGTTGAGTTTCTCGTCTATCACCACACAATCTACATCACCCGTCAAGGCAACCCCTGCGGAGCCGGAACGTGTGATCGAATACGTCGACGTTATAAAGCATGTTGAGCGTGATCCTGAGGTGCCTGAATTGACATTCTCCTCTATCACCACTCAATCTACATCACCCGTCAAGGCTACACCTGCTGAGCCGGAGCGTGTTATTGAATACGTCGATGTTATCAAGCATGTGGAGCGTGTGCCTGAATTGCCTGAGCTGGCGTTCTCTTCTATCACTACACAATCTACATCGCCCGTTAAGCCAACCCCTGCGGAGCCGGAACGTGTGATTGAATATGTTGATGTTATCAAGCACGTTGAGCGTGAGCCTGAATTGCCTGAGCTGACGTTCTCGTCTATCACTACACAATCGACATCGCCCGTTAAGGCAACCCCTGCGGAGCCGGAACGTGTGATTGAATATGTTGATGTTATCAAGCACGTTGAGCGTGAGCCTGAATTGCCTCAGTTGACCTTCTCCTCTATTACTGCTCAAACAACGGAACCTATCCGAGCAACCGTTTCTCAACCGGAGCCTGTCATCAAATACATTGATGTTATCAAGCACGTTGAGCGTGAGCGTGAAGTTCCCGACTTGACTTTCTCCTCAATCACCGCTCAGTTCACCGCGCCTATCAAGGCTAATGTTCCTGAACCAATTCTCCCTAGTTTGACAATCTCTTCCCTTGATCCGACATACACCGAGCCGGCCATTCCAAAGCCTCGGGCTATGCCTGAGCCGCCGGCGTTGTCTTTCTCCTCTGTGCGCTCCGTGGAAACTCAGCCTGTGCAGTCTGCATCGCCTGTTATTCCCACGGTGGCGCACCTGTCTACCCAAACTGAGCCAACAGAAGACTCAAAGGCCGCAGTGCTTGTTCATGAGGACCATTCTAGTGAGACTACTCGCAGCCGTGCCAACACCAACAACAGTGACCAACTTGCTGGTGCCGGGCTGGCTTTGAACGATATCTCAGGCAACGCTCTCGCTCGCTCCACCAGAAGACAGTCTAGTTTTGTCACCATGGACCATGGCGCGCAAACAATCCTGTCTTCGAAGCAAATCGACCAGATCCTTATGGAACGCGGCTCTACACGGCCGCATACTTCAGAGAGTCAACTCACAGGGCAATCAAAGGAGTCTGCTGTCGTCGGCGCAGCCGCTGCAGCACCTTTTGTAACACCCAAGCCTCAGTCTCGGCCTCGTCTTTCGCAGATTCAATCTGCCAAGTCGACGCCCAGTTACCATCGGCCTCACAGCGCTACAAGCCAGACATCTGGTCTCAGTGCTCACCCACCCCTGCCTCACGATCACCGGGAGGCGATTATGGCCGCCGAGAAGAAGTCTGTCGATGCGGCGCCACCTTCCCCCACCGGTGTCATGGGTCCTCCTTTGGCCCCCGCCTCTGCCTATCGCATGAACACACAGCGACCGCTTACGCCGAACGAACAGGCTACGCGCTCTGGCTCTGCGAGAACCGTTTCCTCTCAGCCCAGAATGAGGAGAAGCAGTCAAAGTCAGATGTCACGACGATCCTCGGTTTCGTCCTTCGCGTCCGAGATTGAGGAGCGTTTCAACATGAACCCTCATGCCGGTCCTATGCCTCAGGGCTATGGACCTAACACTGACCCTCGCATGATCCAGGCCATCACTCAGACCATGATTGGCGAATTCCTTTGGAAGTACACTCGCAAGACCGGTTCGGCAGACATGTCTTCAACGAGGCACCGAAGATACTTCTGGGTCCACCCCTATACCCGTACGTTGTACTGGAGTGCGCACGACCCGCAAACCGCTGGAAAGAGCGAACTTCGTACCAAGAGTGTGCCTATTGAGGCAGTGCGGGTGGTTGCTGATGATAACCCGTACCCACCGGGTCTTCACTGCAGGAGCTTGGAGGTTGTCAGCCCTGGCCGACGGGTTCGGTTCACGGCTACGACCAGCCAGAGACACGAGACTTGGTTCAATGCATTGTCCTATCTTCTTTTGAGGGAGACCAACGACAACTGTGAAGACCACAACAGCGTGACCCTCGATGATATCGACGAGTTCAATCCTAGTTTCCGATCTGGCTCTCAACAGGGAACAAGGATGTCGTTTTCCTCTTACAACAGTCGCAACGTTCGTAATGCACCCAAGCAACAACGAGCGGCATCTGCTATGTCCATGCGGTCTGGCGGAGGCCGTGCTTCCCCGGCGCTCAGTACACCCGGGCCAAACTCATTGCAAGTCCCCGATGAAGCCCACCAACGCTCTTCGTCACGGCTGAGCACGATCTCCAGCTCAATCCGGGGATCAATTGCCAGTCTGAAGGGACGGCACGGCGCCCAGTCTCCTAGCATGCTTGATGAAAGCATCCGCGGCCAAGACAGCGTCGATGACCTGAGGCATGCCCATGAGACACAAGACTTGGACCGGCTCGAAAATGTCCGTGCCTGCTGTGATGGCAAGCACGACGTGGGTTCTCTTTCGCGTACTAGTCGGTATAGCCCGAGAGTCGATCGCATCCACTCCCCCCACCCTCATTGAACATCGATCGCCTCATGAGATTGGGATTTGTTCGTAGGGTTTGTGGCAGGTCCTCAACCCAGACAACTTGAGTCACTTATAGAGATAATGACCACGAGTTCTCTTTCTTCTGTCTCTCGACCACAACCACGCTTTTTAATACTTCCTTCAACTCGACCTTTTCGTGCCTATGCGCGTGGAATTTCTCGCACTCAAAGCCGAGACCTGGATTTTGACTCTTTTGACTTCGCCAATGATTACGGATCGTTGCTCTAGAATGCTTCTCTGGACAATCTCACCTACACTTTTCCTTCCTTCGCCTACAATCATTCTTTCCTTAGTCTCTACAGATCTCAACTCTCCCACTCTCTCTGTCCTTCATTCATTCCAGTTGGCGTCCTGCCGGATCGTTTCTCCCAGTCTGATCTGCGTTTCTCCTATATTCTCTTTTTATGTCGATAATTCCTCTGGCCACTACATGCCATGATTCTGTCCGCTCTTTCAACTATGTGACCATCTTCTTTTTAGGTATTTGTGCAAACCCTGTGCAACAGAACAAGCTACTAGACTTTAGTCTATGTTCAATATGTTGATCTATACCTTTCATCGGTATACGTCAGACACTGTAGGATTCTTGCGTGCTGCTCCCTGTTTAGTTATTTAGACAGAACTTGTATTCAAACATTTCTATACCCTGTACTTATTTCAAGTCAACGTTAAGTTATCAGTTTATGGGATATTGTAACATTGGCATGGGTGATAAGTGCGCTGTACATCAATTGGTTGTCACGCATTTCAGACGCCGAAGTCCCCACCACATCACGGGGTCCGTCCGCCGGCCCTAACTTATTCCTACTTTATCTCTATATTACTTTCTCTCTTTTGGATAATTTTTGATTCTATACGGAATTGAACATATCACCATCATCATGTCTTCTGAGGCACCACCACCGTTTACCGAGCGAATGCTTGGCATGCTGGAGCCAGCAAAACTCATGACTTGGGCCATGTCCCGTAAGTACAGAGGCCGAACAGACGCCGAAGATATCAATGTCGAGATTGCATACAATTTTTCAACATTGAGGTCTTTCTTCCAAATACCTTTCTGTTTAGCCGACCTTGTGTCACTCTTGTGAACATGCACTAATAGTAATACTACAGACTACTTCCGAATCTGCGCTGAATCCGTCTTCAAGAATGGCCAGATCCTCGCACCAATCACCCAGACTCGCAGACTCCGCGACGAAGCATTCGGCAATTTCTGGGTTGAATTCAGCTGTAAGTCCCCAGAAAAAGAGCTTTTTTTTAGAAAAAAAAAAGAGAGAGAGAAAAGCAAGAAAGAGACCAACACAATATCACTCTTTCATCAACACAACACTGCCGTATCAAAAGTACAAAATTCCCTAACAAACCAACCAATCCAGCCCAACCCCAACGCCTAATGAGCCCAGACCCAACAACAAACCAACCGCCACAACCAGTGGGCAGCTCAGCCCTAATCCCACCACTCCTAAAAACAGCCAGCGGCACCGTCCTAGACGTAGGCCCAGGAACAGGAACCCAAATGCCCCTCCTAACATCCCCCTCCATAACATCACTTTACGGCGCCGAGCCCTGCACAGGCCTCCACGCCGAGCTGCGCACCCGTGCAATCGCCGAAGGCATCTCTGAGAAATACTACATCCTCCCCTGCGGCGCAGCAGCCGCAGAGCTAATTCCCGCGCTTAAGGCGACGGGGACTGGCGTGGTAGATAAGTATGAGGATGATGCCAGCGCGGGTGTTTTCGATACGATATTGTGTGTTCGTGTTCTTTGTTCGGTGCCGCAGATGGAGCGGACGATTGGGGAGTTGTATGGGCTTTTGAAGCCGGGTGGGCGGCTGCTTGTTACCGAGCATGTTGTTAATCCGTGGTGGAGGGCTAAGGGGTCTTTTGTAGCGAGGATTGCGCAAGGGGTTTATCAGTTCTTTGGGTGGAGTTGGTTTATTGGGGATTGTTGTTTGACTCGTGATATCGAGGGGGCTTTGTCGAGGGCTGCTGAGGTTGATGGGGGTTGGGAGAGTTTTGAGTTGGAGAGGTCTTTTGAGTGGTCTGCTATGCCTTATATTTCTGGGACTTTGGTTAAGAAGGGTCTTTAGGATTATGGTACTTGTTGGGCCACATGGTATAACTTTATTGTCAATGTCAATTGGGTATCATTTTTCTCTATCATATATGTTATATCAATGTGCGAAGGTATGCAGGATAATTCTTGGTATCATGGGTTCATCAAGTAGGTTTTGGACGTCCAGCGGGCCAGAAATCAAACAGATCCAAAGCTTCAGAGGTCCACGGTCCTTGTTCTTTGGGTTCGGTTTCCTGGTCCGCTGCATTTGACAAGCTTCTCGTAAAGTTTGATGGGGCTTGATGGCCTTGTCGTGAAATCAATGCAGTTGGATCGGATACTGATTTGCGGAAAGGCGTATCAAGAGACCTTCTTGCCGTAAGATTTCGAATTGCCGAAGGCGGTTTGAAGCCCGAGCCATCTAGCATCTCGTCGAATATAAATTGTGTTGACTCTGACGGCATGAAGTCTTCATTTGCAGTCCCAGGATTTTTAGTCGGGGAAACGACTGGTCTTGTAAACCTAAGTAGACATTAGCTTTGCAATCCTGGCTGCTGGATGGGTACATACTAACTGCGGCTCTTGGGAAATTGTGGTAGTCTCACATGGGGGTGTCCTTGTTGGTGGAGACGAGGATTTTTGTAAGATATCACCTGGCAGCAGTGCGCTATACATCAGCTTCCTGCGTGGCTTTGCAGCTGCCATCCGTAGAGAAGTCGTGGGTTTGTCTGACGGTATTGCCTTGGATGGGCGTGAGGGAGGTGGCATATCATTGGAAGCTGTGTCACTTGTGGGCTTCACAAGTTCTGCGTTCTTATTGGTTGTGTGAACTGACGCATTCGGTACGGGACGAGTGGTAAGGGGCTTTGGCGCTGGAAACGGTGGCCTCGAAGCTGTCGGAGGACCCGGCCTTGGTGGCTGCATGGGGTTCGACACATCTTTCGATCTATCTCTGACCCCTGTAACGGGCTCATCCATTGCCGTTCTTCCCTGGGGTAGAGGGGATTGGCTTTCCATAGACCTTTCCGGAACAAAAGGTCTTGAAAATTCCGTGGGATCGGGTCTCTGGGGCTGCGGCAGGTCTTGAGGCTCATTGTTCACAGGTGTGGCAGGTTGCACAGCTTTGGGTGCTGTAAGAAGTGGCATCTTTGGTATTGGTCGACTAATGTCCGTTTCAGGTGCAGCAGGTACTGGATTTCTTGTGACGACAGGGCCGGGTCTCTGCGATTGCATAGGCCGCAGCGGATCTTGAGGTCTATTGTTCGCGGGTGCGGCAGGTTGTACAGCCTTGGGTGCTACACGAGGTGGCGCCATTGGTTTTGGTCGATTGTTCATCATTTCAGGTGCAGCGACTCCCGTGCTTCTTGTCGTAGAAGGAAGATTGGTTCTCTGGGGCAGAGTTGGCTTTGGCGCAACTGTTGTCCGTGTAGCTTCACGAACTGTCGGGTATGCATCGGTCACTGGGTAACCTCCAGAACTGAGAGGCTCTTTTTCTGCCCGTGAATTCGTATCCTGTCTCAGGGAAGCTCTGGGGTTCGGCTCCGTCAAATCAATGACCTGACTGTGAACGCGCGAGCTTCTCTCGGGGAGTGTAGGCACCGCCGTGGTTGTCTTCTGACGTTTCGTCGGTCTTGTGGGTTCTTGGGTATTCTGCGTTTTCGGTGGGGGATTCCTTTGCTCGTATGGAGAAACAAGGTGTCCGATCGGAGTCTTCTTTATATTCAACAGATCGTTTAGCGAACGGAAAGACTGGGAGCCGGAGGAACGGATAGGCGCCGAAGAGCGGGGAGCTTGGGACACTGGATCTTTTGTCTGTGGTGAACCCTGGCTGGACTTTCGTTTCTCGTAAAGGTTGGTGATATCGGTTTCACTCGTCCCCGTGCACTCGGTAACCTGTATCAGAACACCCTTATCCAGCTCGAGTTCGTCGCCATCTTGGACCTCGTCATTGGATCGCCAGTGATGGTCACCAATGAAATTTCCATTCTCGTCGTAGACCATTATGCGCTTGTTAAACTTGTGGTACCGTAGATAGCCATCTTGCCATCGTTTCGACTTGCGCCGCAGATCGTGGGTGTAGAGGCAGTGGAATTTGACGACCGACGCGGTGACCTGAGGCGAAGTTGCGGTCGCACTTCGCGCGGTCGAGGACGGCGTTGACATCATGTCTGCCCATGCAACTCATGGCAGTGGGATGTAAGTACTTGAAGGTTGGTCCGTTCAGCCCTGGAGGTCCCAGGATACGATAAGCCGGATAAGGGAAAATGTAAACGCGGTAGGCCTCAGGCACGAAACTATACTTCTACATCTACCATGTACTCACTCTTAATTTCTCTACTCATTGCTCTGGTCGTGGGTTGAACGTTGAACTTGTTGGATGGTTTTCTGCTTCCTACGCTTCTCATGAAATACATTGGGGCCAATGGCATCGCCCCCACCCTAAGTATATCCCTGTCAATGACCCCCAATACAAGCATCCAGCCCCCACGCGGAATCAAGCGAGGCACTTTGAACAGTACACAGTTTCTTGGACCAATGCGACACGGTTGGCTTTGAGTGGAGTAAGGGTCCACTGGGCTGAGTGGGATACTCGAAGTATAATATACAATTGATCGGCACTACGAAAGATGGAGGGGAGGGGAGAGAGAGCCGCATGAGAGGCTGAAACACATTGGGGCCAAGCCATGTGTCATGGACGCAGCCCCCTCCCTTTCTCCGATTTTTAATTCTGCCAACCTTCACTCTGGCTTCAGTTTCTGGGCTTGTTTTGTCAGAGCACTGTGTCAGATTCACCGTGTACTTCATCTGTGGTCAACTATTACTCCAACCTCTCCCCGCTTCCAACCCGCTTCCCCACTCATTACTTGGAAGCTCCCCAATCCCCCAGAATGCAGAACATGCAGAGGCGCTTTGGGCGCATGACAACCAAGCAATCAGCAGATGATAGCCAGATTGCTGTGCTGTTGAAGGACTTTGACGATGCTGATATGCTCCTGGGCAAGGTAGGCATCCATATTTCCTAGGACGCGCGTTCGCATATCTAACACTCACTACTTTATCAGATCGTGGATTCTACCCAAGCCTGGCGTGATGCTTGGATTTCCATCGCAACATACCAGAGTCGAATGATCGATGAGTTCGACGGCTTCTACGGTCCTATTATCGGCTCCTCAGAAACCCCGTCCAACCACAACCCAGTGGAAACAGACCCAGTCAAGCTAGCTCGGACAAACCGACTACGCAAGGAATATGATGAATTGCGGACTGATCTGGTGGAAGAGCTCAATGCTGTCGAGAATCGCATGACGCGGCCAGCTGCACATGCCAAGGAATCCTTGCTGCCTATGAAGAAGACAATCAAGAAGCGCAATGACAAAAAGGTAGGTGATAAGCCTGTGTTTGACTGGACTGTGGGTGCTAACATCTCATTTCAACAGTCTGACTTTGAACGCTCCCAAGGCCGCGTCGATGGCCTCTTGAAGAAGCCCAAGCGCTCCGATCGCGACAATGTGAACCTGGCCAAAGCTGAGACGGAACTTGCCAATGCAAAAGTGGTACGCAGATAAAAGTCGAGCACCAAGAGAATACCAGACACTGACCGCCCTCCAGGTGTACCAAGCTGCCGATGATGACCTCCGCCAGCGCCTCCCAACCCTAGTCTCCCTGGTCTTCTCTCTGACCCCATATATCCTGGAAGCCCAAGTCGAGATCCAGAACCGCATGCTAGCAAACTACTACACAGTGCTACACACCTACTGCGAAGAAGAGGGATTCCCATCCCCACCCCTACCAATGGAACAAATCGTCCAAGACTGGGAATACGCCTACAACCCCGTCCAGTCCCACATCGAAAGCTTCGGCTGCCTGCAACAAGGCAAAGCCCTACGCAAAGCCTCAGTTGACCAACAAAACAGCAAACGACCCTCGATAGGCGGCCGCAAAGCAAGCACCGCCTCCTCGATCTCCAACCTCTCAGTCCGCAGCCGATCAACAGCCCCAGCCCCAAACCTAGGCCCGAACTCTTGCGTCCAGGAGGACTCGCCCTCGCCACCCCTGTCGACTACCACCCATCACAACATAACAGTCACCAGCTCCGGTGCGACAACTCCTCTTTCCACAGGCGGAGACTCCTTCATGCCTACCCCACCAGCGTCCATGCCAGCCGCGAAGCCCATGCCGCAAGGCGTGATGCAATTCGCACCCGCTGGTCCGAACATAGATTACTTCCAGTCTTCGGCATCAGCCTCGCCGAGGGGCGGTACACCCTTGGATACCGCCACTGCAATCGCTGCAAAGAAGAAGCGTCCTCCACCGCCACCGCCGAAACGTGCTGCAACGTTTGTAACGGCGTTGTATGATTTCGGTGGGCAGGGCGGTGATGATTTGGTTTTCCGGGAGGGTGATCAGATTCGTATCGTTCAGAAGTCTGATAGTACGGATGATTGGTGGGAGGGTGAGTTGAGGGGGCAGAAGGGGTTTTTCCCTGCGAATTATGTGGAGTGATTGGGGCGATATATCTTGGGTGGTTGGGAGCGAAGATGCAAAATGGTGGGATCGAATCTGGGGTTTTCTTTTTACTGTGGCATGCGAATATCTACATACCTATCTATCCGAATACGCAATTAATGATATTTGTTGTTTTTTATTTGAATACTCGTATACTTTGTATGGATGTGATCTTGCTTTCGATATTTGTACTGTAAACCCCTAGGGCTGGTCATCAAATATACATCATGATCAAATATATCTTAAAAAGTGACCACACCTGTAAAATCATTGAAGATAAGAACAGAAAGCTCTCAGCAACCACTACACATTACAGAATGGTGTAGTTGGTAACAGTACTAAGATAGATTGGCGATGGGGGGTGTTGGCACAATAAGTATGCATTTTTGACATAGTGAGTCATAATGTCAAAGATGGCCAAATATCTCTATCAACCAGCCAAGTGGTCGAGCAGTAACTCGGTCATTCAATCTTCCTTGGTCTAGTGGTGATGATTTCCGCTTGTCATTAAAACCGATAAGCGCGGGAGACCGGGGTTCGATTCCCCGAGGGAGAGTTTCTTTTTTACTTGTAGTTTTTATTTGGCCCCCCTACCGTTCTGCCTGACCATAGAGGAATGAGTAAATTGGTTTTATTTATTGATCGCGAGGAATCCTGTATAGTAAGGATATCTGAATTCATGCTGCATATACCTATATCAAGTAAAAGGTCCACAGAGTAGATGACTCTGCATACAGGACGGAAGAATACAACAAATGAAACACAAAACAAAAAGGCTTCTGAAAGTTAATCAGATACTACGCGATTCGACTGATCCATGTTCAAATAAAAGCCTCGGTTGCTGTCTTGTTATCAGAAGTTTCACCCATCTGTTGGCGTCGACTGTCCAAAAACATGTCCACCATGCGCTTGCTTGAGATGGTAGAGTGAATGTCCTGGAGATGATAGTTTTCCATCACGTCATTGTACTCATGTTGATGTCTCACATTCTCGTTATTACCACGGGCGTCTCGTTGGTTGCGCATGGATCGGAACTGGCCAGGCTTACCATCCTGCGAAATTGGTGGACGTCTGGCGGAATACCGTCGGTGTTGCTCTTGCGTCCAAGTCCGCTTAGCTCCCATCTTCTTTGGCGTTGGGGACTCTGGGGCCTGCATGTTACTGGATCTGATCCGGATTGGCGACAGCATCTCGTCCTCAGCAATCTGGCTAGACTTGGGCGAAGCGTTTTCGTTAGATATAGCGACTGGACCCGTGGCTGGGGTGCTCGAGTAATCCTGTGCCATGACCCCTGAATCAAACTTCTGCGATGCCAAAATGGTCCTCATGTTGGAGGCCTGACTGAAAGGACGAGAGAAATTGCCTTGTGATGGGACTCTGATTTCAACAGAAGATTTGTGCGCGGCATAACCCTGGCTAGTCGGAGTGTTAATACAGTTTGTTGAGACCGGACCAGGGATGGGGACTTGTTGAGCTATTCTGGTCAGGTATTCGTCATCATCTTGGAATTGCGCATCTTCCCTGACATGTTCTCTCGTGGGGCTTGCCTGCTCAATCCTATCAATCTGGGAGCTCATCCATTGGTGCCAATCAGCACTGGGTTTGGCATGACTTCTGGAAGATGCGATGCGAGCAGAGCGCTTCGATGAGCTGTAAGTAGTTCGCTGAGGAGCAAAGATTGTTGCTGTTCCAGGTTCATCGTCCACGCATAGGGTGTGCGTGTCAACTGAATCGGTATTGTCAGCATTTGTCGGGGTATTGCCACTGGTGGACCGGGAATAAACACTTGGAGACACCACATCTCTTTTCGAACCCCCGAACCGGGCGATGATGATGCTGCCGTCTTCATCCTCGGATCCCTCACTCGCAGCGTACATTGAACGTGGGGATTTTCCTGGGACTTGTTGACTTGTCCCATAAACAGACATGCCCCTGGAAGTCTGCATGGAAGCAAAAGATCGGCTCAGATGTGGGTGACACCTCTGCGGGCTTGACTGATCACCACCGCGTGCTGTTGCAAATGACTTGGGTGAGGCTGAGGATCCTTCGCTTGGGACATGGCGGATACTGCGCCTACCGCGCTGAGAGTACACTGAATTGTTCCGTTCTGGAATAACAGAATGCTTTGGCACTGACCCGAAAACAATCCCTTCGTTCGGGTTGGGTAGGGCATTTCGGCCCATTTGTTCCATCAAAGCAGAGTACAGCTCATGGCTGTCCACAACCCCGATTGGACGGGGATTTGATCTCATATCCAAAGAAATTTGATTCTCAGAATCTCCCATGTCGCTTGCAGCCACCCTTGGGTCCAGGTCTCCATCTTCTCTGATAAAGGAGAGCGATTGGCGGTGCCCAGGTCTCCTGGTAGTAACAGTGTCTGCTATGCTAGAGTCAGCCCAGCTGGTAACTCGGGACTTGCCAGTGTAAAGGCTATCACAGCTGGGAGTATAGGACATATCCGGGGAAGGACTGGGGCCAGCATAACGCTCTGTATCTTTGCTTTCGCGACGAGAACAATCCTGTGATATTCTCTCGATGGGGCTTGTGTTGAAGGGCTCGCCGTACTTGATATCGCCCTGCAAGGCGGATTGCTCTGGCATCTTGGAGAAGCCAAACACCCGTCTGAACCCATTTTTGATGGAACTTGATATAGTCCGAGACGTTCTACGAGGATCTCCAGTGTTTTGATCAGTACCACCCTCACTTGTGGCACGAAATGTCTTTCGGAACGGCCTGTGCTCCCTCTTGCGCCTGAGCAAGAAGGAAGACCGGCGAGTCTGGATCCCCACGTCCTCGGATTCCAAATTGAATTGGCTTCGAGCCAGCCGAAGAGATTCATCATGGTTCTTGGCGTCCTGGTCAGCTTGCGATTGACCACTTCCGTGTAGGAATGACATTGTCCGTCTCATTGTTCGTGGCAGGTGGAAACCAGGGCTCCGTTCAGGATCAGAGGGGTCACCACAGGGCAGTGCCGGCACTCCATACGGGGTCTGTGAAGTTTGCTGTCTGGTCGAGAACATTGACTTGGCTTTGCGTAGCCGACGATATGAAGAGGGAACAGAGCTGTTACGCCCATCGAGACCTCTGAATTCTGTGATTGGTGGAAGGACAGCAGAATCATCTGCACGCGAAACTCGGCCGGCTCCGCCAGCTCTTTCTGTAGACTGGCGTGGGGTTGTAAATGCTGGGAAGCTTCTCTGGGTCCCATCATCTGTAAACCGAAGGCTTGATCCGGGGCGTCTTCGAGGAACGGCAATGTTTGCTGGACCACCCAGACGGTCGTATGAGGTCTTTTGTTCCTGCGACGATCTATCACTTCCACGCATTGCCCGTGATGCTGCGGCAGTTGCTTGAAGCATGGCGACATCGGGATTCACGATCTCGGGGTCTGGGGCTCGCCGTGTTTTGCGAATTGAGCGGGTCGACATGGACCTTCGCAGTCGATTCCGTGTAATGGATGAGGAAAACATGTTTCAGAAGTCTGCAGAGTATATATTCTGATGTGGGAGATGTGAAGAGAAGAATGCGATGAGTGGAAGCCAGGAATATGGCAGGCAAGAGCAACTATGGAAGGAGCCATCGTAAATGGCAGGGGCCTGCAACTTCATTCTCTGTTTTCACTTCACAATTCAAAGCTCATCATAGATTTTCAGAGCTTCATCTGGTTGCATTGCAAAGCTTAGCGCCCACTCTAAGCGCTGAGTCACGCCAAGACAGCACCTTTTGACGCATTCTGACTCAAGTTGAGGCTGTGAATATACGAGTCATCCATGGGTTATTTTATTACAGTAGACTGAATCTCGGACCCCAGGATATTCGACCGCAGATGAGTCTCAAAATGTCGCAACCCCGAGCAACTACGAAGTCAGATCACGTTAACTTGAACGGGCGAACCCTAGAAGGAGGCGGCCAGCTGGTCCGCATTGCCCTCGCACTGTCAACCTTGACCAGTCAGCCAGTCAACATCGATCATGTTCGCGGAAATCGCCAGGGAAAGAAGGGATTGAAAGGATCCCATGTCGCAGCCGTCAAGTTGCTGGGCGAGATCAGTGACAGCAAAGTGTCTGGCAATGAGATCGGCTCCGAGTTCTTGAACTTTTTCCCGCAGCACTCGAAATCAAACAACGGACCTTTGGTGGATCTATCGCAAGTTGAGGTGCAGACTGAATACAATATTCGCCTCCCGACAGCTGGTGCCATCTTTCTTGTGTTCCAGGCTCTCTATCCATACCTACTTCACGTCGGAGCAAAGGCAGCTGCTCCATTCATCACAGTCAGCATCACGGGTGGAACAAATGCATCTTTCTCTCCGTCATACGACTACGCCTCACAAGTCCTTGTACCAAATTTCGCTAAACTTGGACTACCCCCTCTTTTCATTCTCCTTCACAAGCGTGGCTGGTCATCAGGGCCGGTTGAGCTAGGCTCAATACAATTCCTCATCCATCCACTTGGACATCAAGATAATTCAGATGAAGCGAGGACAGGTTCACAATCCGCAATCTCTGGGTTTCCACGGATCAATCTCATGGACCACAAGCGTGGGGGAATTACGAAAATTGATATTACGGTACTGGCACCAGATTCACCACCTATCAATGCGGGTGCACTGGGAGAGGGTGGAAGCACTGCCCGTCAGTATATTGAGCAAGTCACCCAAAAGACCCTGCGTCGTGCACTGAAAAAGTTGAACCCGTCTACGTTTGCGAAGCCCTCGACTTCGAAATCCGAAGGGGATGACATTGCTAGAGATGTTGCCGATGACATACCAATTCCTATTGAGATCCACACCTCGGAAGCTACAAGCCACCGCAGTCATGTATATATCCTCCTTGTGGCCCATACCTCCTCGGGCTTCAGGATAGGGCATGATGCTCTGGGCAGTTTACCGAAAGATCCGTTCGACCAAGGGAGCAAACCAAAGCACAAAGGGAAGCAAAAAGCACGGTCAGATTCTCGTTCTCGACATGAGTCAGATGCTTATGGGATTAAGAGCCTGGTTGGCCGATGTGTGGACGGGTTCATTGAAGAGATCTCGAACGAGAGTCCAAATACAGATGACACAGGCCCTCCTGGAAGTGAACCATGTCTAGATCGACACATGCGAGATCAAATAGTCATTTTTGAGGAATTAGGGAAGGCATGCCACCCCGAAGTTGAGGGAGCCAACGAAGCCCTAGAAGACAAGCGAGAATGGACCCTGCATACGAAGACAGCAGAGTGGGTATGCCGGCAGATGCTAGGAAATGGGTGAATATCTAGATGCCTACCTGAAAAGCGCATCGATCTAGGCTTCCATAGCAAATTTGGATTGTGAGAATACTCCAAAATACCCGAAACAAGACACCGAATCTTCGTACTCTTCAATAGACCGACCTAGCCATAAGCCCAACCCACCAACCTTGGTAGAAACATCAAACAACACAGATCAGATCACTAAGCACTTACCACCTTGCCCCTCTCATATCCATAACCAGCATCTACATTACATCTATGGTAGAAATGACATGCCCACAGAAAAAACACCCAACCTCCAAAAAGCCCCCTGTCAAGTGCCGCGTAACACGCAACACCCAACCCAAAACCCGAGATTACAGGATATCCGCCACGATCCAAGCAGGGCAAAAAAAGCGGTCCAGTCTACCGGACACACCGGAATTAAAGTGAAAGCCGTTTCGCGCTTCCACCCGACCCGCGAACCAGGAACAGGAACGCGTTCCAGACTCGGGTGGTTCGGAGGCTCGGATATTCGGAAAGTAACAAGTGAGCCTTGAGCGCGTTGGATTTGTTCGGCAATCTGTAATTTGAATGCAATTTGTTTGAGACTTGTGTCAGATCTAGGTTTGCAACGTCAGTGTCCTGGGATGGGTTTGCTGGACTATTATAGGAGCGTGGGTTAAATTGGGTTGTTCCTGTTCGGTTCGTATTTTGTTGTAAATAGATTGTACTTATTAAGAGGGTGTCTGCCCAACTGTAAGATGGTTGAGATTTGGTCCACTATGGATACAGAGTTAGGGATCTCACGGATAGATGTGATGTTTTCATGTACATGTACCATGGTGTGTGTCTCCAATCCATGGTAGTTTATTTGGTTTGGGGGCTGACAGGGATTGCCCACTTACCTGCAGTACCTACTGCACGACACCCTATCACATGTGCATACGCGCCACGGCATTTAATTCGATGGATAGTAGACAATATAACGAGGCAGCAATTTAGAGAGATTAATGAAGTCAATTTCGGAATTTCCGCTCTCTCCTAGTCCGTACTAATGGTAGAATACCACTCTCTTGTCAATTGTAAGAAGAATACGGGATGATCCATAGAATAGGGGAACCAAACACCCAGCCACAGCCAGTTCCTCAAACCCTTCTAGAAGAGAAAACGGGAGAGACATCCCGTAGTGGAGGCGTGGCAAAATCCCCACAGTTTCTACCCTGAAACAACGGACGATCGATGCTGTGGCTGACACAAAGCAGGCAAGAAATACCGAAAAAGCAGATTAGAAAAAGGGGAAGTTAGCGTCCTTTTTTTGGGTTTGATTTTACTTTATTCTTTCGTATGCAGCAACAGCACAGAAGCCCGGAAGAATCAGCTAGAAGACACACTAGACACTAGACAGCCTAGCTCTCTCCACCAGGCTTGTTTTACATCTCAGAAATCTGTCAGTCGAACAGTGGAATGTCTCTAACGGAATCCACTTTTACTTAGTTTTTCTTCCCTGCTTTTGGGCATTGTAGCATTGGGCTCTGACTTCCTCGATAATTGCGCAGTCAGGCAGCCACTTTCGGTGGATTCCTTCTTTTCCCTCTCCCGTTATTGTGTCTACCTGACAATAATCAGCACAATAGTTTCAAATGTGGACATGCCAATGGCAGGTGGGTACGAAGTACAGTATGTGTTTGTGAAACAAGCGATCGACAACAATTGTCTCTCTTTTTCCCCTCTCCCTGGTAACCCCCTTTTTTTTCCCTGAGCACGTTTGTCCTCGGATACCGGCGCTCTAACAGGTGTGACAAAACAATCACTCTACTCTGCCCAGGTGGGCTATTGAACGCCCCGGTGTGGGCTCGTTAATTCTCCGAACACGAAGGGGTCTGGATTTTCGATTCCCGGCCACATGACCCGGTAGATCCTGCACCGTGCAGATAGTATGCCATCGCCCGAGAGACCATACAGCCGTAATCGGGTTTCTGTATTCCGTATAGCCGTATTAGTACTGGGCAGTGAAAGTGTAAGTCTGTCTGTTAGACTAAGGCCAAGGCCAAGGATAAGACACCAAATCCAGGCACCCAAGAACAATAGCTAGAAAAGGAAGGAGCGCCCAAAAAGATCGACAGGGAGTGGCACCAAGCACGAAGCCTCCCATAGACACGTACTTCAGATCTAGATTGCTCTTGAATCCTTTTGCCTAGTCCGATGTGACATGACCAACCACAAACCAGTCAAAGGGCCAGTTCAGCTCAAGCCATGGGGACCGGGGACCAGAGGGCAGGGGACAACACAGACACGGATCCACAGTCTGGGCAGGCACTAGGATCTAGCATCTAAAACATGCGCAAACGGTGTCCTGGGATAGACGTGACAGAAAATAGACTGAGGCTAGATCGAGGCTGATGCTTGGTAGGATGAAACAGTTCAAGATGGGAATGGGAATGCGAATGGCGGGGCATACACGAGCTGTGTTTCTAAGTATGGAGAGTTTGTTTCATGCGGCTGAAGTGTATACAAATAGAAATAGTAGTCAGACTCGAAACAGAGTGGCCTTGGGCCATTGGGGGCCAAAAAGGCTCACAGCCCCAGTTGCTCTGGGGCTGGGAGAGAAAGTAAACTTTCACAACGGTTTTAGATCTGCAGGGCTGAGCCTCACTCATTTAGCCTGGACTTTTAGTGTAAACTGGTAAGGAATGCATGACATCAATGGTATAAGGACAATCAAATAAAACATATATATCAGATGGTAATAAGGTATCTAGCACTAGGAGCATGAGCGCAATAAAAAGGAAGACAGGGGGTATGGGCGTCACAAAGAAAAAGAACAAGAAATACAAAGAGAAGAGAAAGGCAAAAATAGGACATAACCAAAGAAAAACCCAAGAAGAACATCAGCGCACAAGCAAACGTATGCGTGGGGAAATAGACAATAAAAATAAGAAGGAGAAGGGGTAAACCACGTTCTGTAGGTAGTTGGAGAGCCCCCAATCCATCAGCGCCACTGCCCACCAGTGGCAGATCCATGTTTCCGTTGGTATCCATGCAAAATGCGTTCTATATATCCTCAATGCGAAAAAGTGCAGAGAGCCGGTCTTTGTTCCCCCAAGAAAACAACCCAAATGAGCGAAAAAGGAAAATGTCGACGGATCGTTCATGCATGCCGGGCTTTCCCAGGGAGAGATGAGAAAATCGCGCAAGGACCCTTCCACACCGACCCGGCGGATATGGAAGAGTCAAGCGAGATAAAGAGATGAGGATCAGAGTGGGGGTGGGGGGTGCAAATCAGAAAATTATGGCAAAAGTAGATGAGTAGATGGCCGTCGTCGTTAGATATGACAAAGAAACTCCCGGCGATGCATATGAGAGATGTGGAGAGGGAGGGGAAGAGAGAGAGGGAGAGGTATAGAGAGAGAGAGAGGCAAAAAAAGACACGGAGAAGTAGAGAAGTAGCGAGACAAAGGAAAACAGCCGGAGATCATGCGTTAGGTCCCAGCCAGCAGGACGAAATCACGATCGTATCTTAGCAGCTGTGGTTTTCCGGACCGTCCCGGAGTGCACGCTTCTCATTACAGCTGGGGCTCGGGTGCCTTGCTTGAGGATTCGCCAAAGAGCTCTGAAGGCAACATGCGCTTGTACTCGCGCGGCTGGGAAAATGGAGAAGCTGACGCTGGGCGGCGCAAGTTGAGGGACTGGATGATGTTAGCTATATATTCTAGAAAGAATAGAGAGGATAGAATAGAGATTCGACTCTAGGTTAACATACCACACAGTCAGAGCACTTTGTTCCTTGTCTGTTGACACGGCCTCGGCATCCGCGGGGGTAGTTGGCGCATGAGTACATGGTGATGGTGTAGTGAAGTAGTGTGGTGTGGTGTGTAGTAGTGTAGTAGTGTAGAAGTAATATGATCAAAGAGACAAAGGGATCTCAAAGAAAAGGCGTTAGACCGATGACGTCGGGAATAGAAGGGGGATGGAGAAAGCAAGAGTTAAGAGGTCAAGGCGGAGGAAGAGACGGGGTTTATATCAGAGGCTCAAAAAGATGGCTTAGACCTGTAGAAATTTTAGGGTTCCATTATTTCTTTTTTATTTTATTTTCTTTAATCTCTCTCTGACGCTTTACCTTTTCTTACAGATCTCCCCTTCCCGGAGATGGTTTGATCGGCTCTTAAATCCAGACTAAAATGAAATATTCTGTATTTTCTTATACTCTAAAGTATCTCCTTACTATGTATCTCCTATTGCATGCGAAACTCACTCGTTAAGCTTATACGAACTGTAGCCCGTAATTTTAGAGCCGTTTCGAGTTAAGGCCTCGGGCCTCTTGTTCTGGAAACATCCCCACAACTCAGGGGATATTCCTCGATTGTCCCCATCAGGCCTGTTTGCATGGAACATTCTGATCTTCTCCTGATCAGCCCTGTCACCGTATGTACATGTAGGTAATCGGTAATCGGTAACTTAACAATCTAGGGGGAATGTTCAGGCCCTTCCTAGGGGATACAACCCCCTATTACTATCTTACTCTATTCGCCAATTCCAATGAAACTTACCAACAATCCAATTCAACCCTTTTGACGCGGCCATTCCAGATTTGCTCTGGATTTCTCCCTTTCATCCTAGATCCTAGTATCCCTGTGGAGGCTTGTGGATCCAGGCCTTTTTTTCTTTTTTTTTTTTTTTCCCTTTCCTTTTTTCCTTTTCCCATCCCGCTCCGGCAAATGCCATGGAATGATTAGATCTAGAAGCTTGACTATTGACACTTCTAATGAAACGCTTGCTTGGCAAATAAGCGTCGTACTGCGTTCCGGTGAGAGGTCGACGTGGCCGATGTTTAAGCTGCGTCACTTGAATGGCTCATGTGGTCCTGGGTGTGACGGTACTTTGAGATGCAATTTTGCTGGTCTCCACTGCAGGAACATGTTCCAGAAGTTTTGTACTTGACTACTCCGTTTCTACTGCTGCCCAGACATCTGCCTACACCGTACATGTAGGTGGTCTCAGCCATTGCAGTCATTGCCCGAAGCGATAATCGGAGGTTTACAAGCCGGTGACCTCATCCAGCGCCATCTTACCTGCATTCTGCATCCAGACCGTTTCGGATCGGCTCGGTTCATGTGACCCTCTGGGCTTGCCAAACCAAGACTTATCATTGGGTTGTCCCAGCAGCCGATAGCCGGTCTACACCTGGGCAGTTATCTGATGAATCGTCACGGGGCCCGGGTAATCCTGGAACCTTGAGTGCTGACGATGCAACATTACAAATACCAGAGAAGAACTAAAGCACCGATTCAGGCGAACAGTATTGCATGACATTCTTCCGAAAACACCCAAACAAAGATTATGCCCTGTCAAACCGAAACGTTAAACCTCCATAGATCGAAGAAGAAACCAAGCTCCGAAGATACCCCCCACCAAGACAAACAACAGTCGGTTCCCTTCCCAGGTCAGGCCCAGATACGCAGCAGCACCCACCACGATCTCCTTCCGACGCGCCATGTCCCGCCTGGCCTGCCAGTTCGGATCAATGGAAAACGGAGCCACAGCTCGGAGATCCGGTCCCGTGTGATTCTCTCCAGAGGGTCTCAGCGGCACCGAGGCTACGAGCGCAACGGGGCGGTGATCTGACTGTGCAAAGAGAGGCAGTGCATCGTATGCGAATATTTGTACTTTTCCACCTTCGCCCACCCACGAGGGCGTGTCCAGGTAGAGGATTCGATCGCACCAGCTGGGCCAGCGGTGGCTGGACCATTTCCATTCCTGGTCCGTGTCCAGCCCCTGTCGTGCTGTTTCGCGTGCTGCGTCAGAGTATTTGTATGTCGGGGGGAAGTCGATCGGCGCTTCTGTTAGCCCGTGGAAGCTTCGGCCTGATCGCATCTCGCGCATGAGCTGGTCGTTCTTCAAGAGGTGCGTGTAGTGCGATGGGTCGTCCAGGCCGGCGCTGCGTTGTGGGAAATGGACTATCTCCTCGGGGGATGGTCCAGTGTTTGAGGTGCGGTAGTTCAGGTCTCCGGCGACGAAGAGGTAGGCGTTTGGTGCGAAGAGATCGCGACGACTGTGATCCGAGTGTGCCGAGGCTGCGTCGTTCAACAGGCCGGTATGTTCGCTCACTTCTGACTCTGGTTGCACGCCCGGGCAGTGGGTGAACACAAGGCGCTCGACAATACTCTTCCAGTCCATATTCCTCTGTTCAAAGGAATCCTCCATGGCGGCCAGATGCGCCGCGACAAAAGTTAGATCAACGGTCTTTGATGGATTGCCTTCCACAACATATCCCAGACGAGCCCCGACGGCACCCTTGTTTCCCATTTCCGAAACTCCCAATCCGACATGTGCCGTGTCCTTCCAAGCAATATGCTCAAGGGTATCGGAGCGCGCGAACAGCATCAGGCCCGTCATGCCCGTGCTATCGCTGAGGAAATTCTCGTAGTGGTGGTCCCAACGGCGCGCGGCCGCTTTGCTGACTGCACGTCGGAATGCATCGAAATAAGGCTGGAGGTAGGCTCCTCCGAGGAACGAGTAGGCGATAGGCGCGATTTCTTGTAGAGAGAGGAATATCATGTCTGGTGCGGAGCTCCCCGCACCTGACGCGGGGAGCGCATCGAAGAAGTGCTGCGCGAAGTGGTCGACATCGACAAGGTTTCTTGCACAATTAAAGGTCAGACAGTAGATACCAAGGGCATCCATCTTGAAAACCACCTGGAGTCACAGGACAGAAGAGAGGAGAAAGGTGAGTTGGGAAGATAGGATGACGTCACTTGACTCGTGTTGACCGCCGAAGTAAACACTGCCTTGGGTTTATGTTTTAGGGGATATTTATTCCCTACGAGGAACTGTGTTAATTAACAAACGAAAACTAAACTACTTCTAATACACATGGCTCATTCATAGCCAAAACAAAGAAAAAAATCAAAAAGAAATGTGCATCATCCGTGAATCGAACACGGGCCTCGTCGATGGCAACGACGAATTCTACCACTAGACCAATGATGCTGGAACATCAAACAGCTGGAATTGCTGATTGGCTGTTGATATCTGCTTTCTCCCAATTTGCTTTTTGAGGTGACTCGACTGTTTATATACATCCAACCTACTACTTAATATTATAACTTCCCTCTCACTTCCACATTACCGACACTTGGCTCCAATTCCACCAACAACATTCCCTCTGCAACATCTTCCTCTTCATCCTCCATCTCATAAACCCATTTAACCCGTCCAGCACGAGGGCTGCGCACCTCCAGCTCCATCTTCATCTGCTTGACGAAAGCCAGAACCTGGTTCTCGGCAACATCTTCGCCATCTGTCACGAGGATCTCGATTAGCTTGCCAGAGAGAGGGAGGACGATGTGTTGGGGGTTCTTTATATCGCCTCGTCGGTGTGATGAGGAGACCAATGCTGACGCGGCTGTTGAGGTTGTTTCTAGTTTCATCCGGTAGGGGATTGCAGTGCGAGAAATTGGAGTGGTATATTCGATCTCGGCGGCGAGAGAGGAGGGGAACTCATTTCGCAAAACCCGAGAGAGGAGGAGATGGTGCGATATTTTGTCTGCGTGTTGGCCATCCTTTGAAAGGGGTTCCAAAGTGATGGACCATGCATCTCCCTTTCGGAATAGTAGATTGGATGCTGGCAGCGCGCTCTGTGTGGCTGCCTGCGAAGGGGCGGCAGATCCTTCTTGCGTTTGTAGAGTTTTCGATATATTCTCACCATGCTGCAGTACAGACTCGAGATGGAGCCCAAGCCATTGTGTGTCGACTCTGCCGGACATGAAATCGGAATGGGCCACGATTCCCCGTAGAAGACTGATGTTAGTTTTCACCCCGTCTATCCGGGAGTCAGCCAAAACTCGCTGGGCTTTTCTCACGGTTGCTTCCCAGGTTGGTGCAGTGACTATGATCTTGGCCAATAGGTTGTCAAAATTGGATCCCACGATCAATGGGGAACCGGTGATATTGACGTTGGTATCGACACGTATTCCATGTCCGCTTGGGACGCTGAACCGATTCACCTTGCCAATGCTCAAAGCAAAATTGTTGCTCGGGTCCTCAGCACACAGTCTGAGTTGAACCGAGAAGGCCTTTGGTGGACGTTCGAATGCGTTAGTCTCACCACCAAGACCCAAATCTTTGAATGTATATCCCTGCGCTAACAAAAGCTGCGTCTGCACCAAATCTATCCCACTGATAGATTCCGTAATAGTATGCTCAACCTGAAGACGAGGATTGATCTCCAAAAAATAAAACTCCCCACGCAGTTCACTGACCAGAAACTCAAACGTCCCAAGCGATTTATAGCGAATATGGCTCGCCATCTTGATCGCAGACTCAATCACTCTCCCCACCAACCCTCGATCCCGCATCAAAGCCGGAGCACACTCAACAACCTTCTGAAACCGCCTCTGAGCACTACAATCCCGCTCCCACAGATGCCGCACCTGCCCCGTCCCATCCCCAACAATCTGAATCTCAACGTGATGAAACCCATCAACAGCAGCCTTCTCGACAAACACCGTCCTGGAAGGCGACTCCCCAATAGCGCGCTGAATCCCATTATCCAACTCAGCCTCTTCACGCACAAGCCGAATGCCCCTCCCACCACCTCCATCAACGGCTTTAATCATAACAGGAAACCCAACCCCTCGAGCAAAAGCGCCTGCTTCATCCACGCTAGCGGTGGGTTGGGCCATGGCTTCTAAAACGGGGACACCACATTGCCTCGCAAGCTGTTTCGCTTGAAGCTTGTCGCCTGTTCGGGCGAGGTTTTCCCAGCCTGGTCCTATGACGATTGACCCGGCTTCGTGCCACATACGGTGGGCGAACTCGGCGCTTTCGCTGAGGAAGCCATAGCCCGGGTGGACGGCATCGATGGAGTACTTGCGGGCTAGATCTACTAGATGGGTTATGTCCAGGTAGGAGGTGGCTGATGGGATTTGGATTGCTTGTTGAGGTCGGCCTAGATCGCAGTGTGATCGGTCGTCTGTTGTGTAGAGTGCAAATGTCTCGACCTTTTCGGGTAGTTCCCGTGCCGCATGGAGGATGCGAACGGCGATTTCACCTCTATTTGGTTCATTAGGGACCTATTCATTGTGTTTTGAATGAGTTCATACCTGTTTGCGACCAACAATCGCTTGATGGGTGAGTGCGGGGACGACATGGGGAAGTAGCCGGGGTATATGTAATTGCACGTAAGATATGAGACACTGTTCGAATGGAATTAAATAGGTGCTGATATTTCAAGTTTAACATCAATTGCAATCCGACTTGACACTCCCAAATATCCTTATAACCCAAAAGGGACCTCGGCCCTCGGAAGGTCCACCCCCTCACCCCATCTAGCGCCCATCTTTATATCTCCAATTCTACACTGGACAACAGAACAAAAAAAATACAGAAATCTATTTACAATGGCCAAAAACAACAGTTCACCTCCAGCAGGAGCAAGCAAAGAGCAAGCCACAAACCGCTTAAACCAACTCTCATCACATATATCCCCAGCCAAACAAAAAAAGACCCAAGCAAACCGCCTGCCAGCAGATCACTCAGACGTCCTAACCCAAATAAACAACCTGCGCACCATAGCAGCAACCCCAGACCCCAAAAACAGAGGCTACATCCGCCAAAAACAAGCCGGAAAACTATGGGTGCGCGAACGAATCGACCAACTCCTCGACGCAAACACCTTCACAGAAATCGGCTCCGTATCCGGCACAGTAACATGGGCCAAAACAGCCCCTATGCGCGAAAAGCCCGTAGCCTTTGTGCCGAGCAATAACGTCCAAGGCGCGGGCTTGCTGCGTGGCCGGAAGGTTCTCCTCACGGCTGATGATTTCAGTATTCGGTCTGGACATGCTGATGGTGCGAGTACCGGGAAGACGGTTTATGTTGAGAAACTTGCTATTGCGTTGCGGATTCCGGTTGTTAAGCTTGTTGATGGGAGTTCGGGGGGTGGGAGTGTTACTACGATTAAGAAGGAAGGGTGGAGTTATTTGCCCCATGTTGCTTCTTTTCCGTTTGTTGTGCAGCAGTTGAATATGGGGATTCCGAATTTGGGGGCTGTTGTTGGTCCTGCGGTTAGTTTCTTTATTCCGATGTTGTGGGATTTGTATGAATGGGGTTGCTGATGACTTGCAGATTGGACTCGGTGCCGCGAGAGTCGTATCATGTCACTTCTCCGTAATGGCTGCTGATATCGGCGCTCTATTTAATGCCGGCCCCAAAGTCGTCGAGGGCGCGACCTTCGAGGAAGGTCTGGACTTCCAAGATCTGGGCGGTCCAATGGTCCATTGTATGAACGGTACAATTGACAACCTCGCTGCCAACGAGGCAGAGTGCTACGAACAATTACGGGTCGTCTTGAGCTACCTCCCTAACTCGGGCAGCGAGGCTCCCCCAGTAATTCCATGCACAGACCCCGAAGACCGCGAAGATATTGCACTACGGAGTATCATCCCCCGACGCCAAGCTCGCATGTACAATGCCCGGACGATCATCACTTCAGTCGTCGATCAGGATTCCTGGTTCGAGATCGGTGCCCTCTGGGGGCGGACTGCTATCGGCGGACTTGCACGTCTAGGCGGACGTCCTGTTGGGGTTATTTCGCTTAACTGTGAAGTGAATGGTGGTGCATTGGATGCTGCTGGGAGTCAGAAACTCACGCGGCTGCTTAAGTTGTGTGATGTGATGAACTTGCCTATTTTGCAGTTCCTTGATGTCCGTAAGTGGAATTATACATCCCCCCACTCTCCGAATTTGGTGATAGGATCTGACATTATGTACTCGAAGCGGGATATGCTATTGGCACTGTTGCGGAGCGTACCGCTACCATGCGCTGGGGCGTTGAACTCGCTAAGGCTTACTTCAGCACCACCGTGCCGGTCTTTAATGTGGTTACGCGGCGCGTATTCGGTGTTGCTGGTGGTGTTATGCTTGGATGTCGGGATCCGGTTATGCAGGTTGCTTGGCCGTCTGGGCAATGGGGTTCGTTGCCACTCGATGGAGGTATTGAAGTCGGCCATAGACACGAACTGAGAGAAGCCGAGAAGATTGGTAAGAAGGAAGAACTGTATCAAGAGTTAGAAGAGGAGTATCTGCGGCTTATGAACCCGGTGCGCACGGCGAATGCGTTTGGGATTGAGGAGATTATTGATCCGAAGGATACGCGAAAAGTCTGTTGTTCGTGGGCTGAGCATGTTTACGAGGTGCTTATTCGAGAGAGATTGGCGGATCGGGCTTCTGGGAAGATTTCACCTACTTTTGCTTGATTTAGTCGAAGTGGTGAAGTTGGAGGTTGGATTAGAGAGGGTAGGGCTGGTGCGCAGATGTGCAGCCAACCATTCCCTACACATCACCAACTATCTTCTAGAGTCCAGACCACAAACCTCCAATGCAATGCCAATATCAGCACTTCCACATAAACTCCATCTCATCCCCACAATTCCCCCTCAAATAAGCATTCTACCGCGACCTAGAAACGGGAGATTACATAACCAAGAAGTATCCATCAAACTACTCCGATATCGAAATAAATCCCCCACTTCACCACATACCACACTTCAAAAACCCCAAATCCTACAAAAATGGCCACAATCAAAATCCTAGACGGAGGCCTAGGCACCTCCCTAGGCGACCAATACAACATAAAATTCGACAGCGCAACAACCCCCCTCTGGGCCAGCGACCTACTAGTCACCGACCCAACAACACTGGAAGCCTGCCAACGAGACTTCGGCAATGCAGGAGTAGACATCCTCCTAACAGCAACATACCAAGTCTCCGCCTCAGGCTTCGCGCTCACGAAAACACCCACGCACCCAGACGGCATCCCCGCCAGCGCGGTGGGCCCATACCTAACGCGCTCGGTAGACATCGCTGAAGCAGCCAAGGTGCGGGATGCCGCTGCCGTTGCGCTGAGTCTGGGGCCGTACGGCGCTTGCATGATTCCCGGGCAGGAGTATAGTGGTGCGTACGATGCGGAGCATGATAGTGAGGAGGCATTGTATAGGTGGCATTTGGAGAGGTTGAGGATGTTTGTTGAGGCTGATGGGGGGAGATTGGTGGGGAGGCTGCAGTATGTTGCCTTTGAGACGTTGCCCAGGCTTGATGAGGTTCGGGCTGTTCGGAGCGCGATTCGTGATTCGGGAATTACGGCGCCTTATTGGATTGCTTGTGTTTTTCCTGGGGATGAGGGCCTTTTGCCGGATGGGAGTTCTATTGAGGGTGTTGTGCGGGCGGCAGTCGAGCCTTTGGAGGGAGGAAGCGTGCCTTGGGGGATTGGGATGAATTGTACGAAGATTCATAAGCTTCCTGGGCTTGTGGAGAGGTTTGGGGCTGCTGTCGATGGGGCTGTTAAGGATGGGATTGTTGGGACTGCTCCTTGTTTGGTTTTGTATCCTGATGGGACGAATGGGGAGGTTTATAATACTACTACGCAGGTTTGGGAGAAGCCGGATGGGTTGGGTGATAATGTGAGGGTTTCTGTGAGTCCGGATTATGGCCCTTTTTTGGGTATTTTGAGTGATGGATTTGCTGACTTTGGTTTTAGGAACCTTGGGAAAAACGATTGGCCCAGGTGGTCAACGATGCTTATGACCGGGGTCATTTCAAGGAGTTCCTCGTCGGTGGATGCTGCAAAGCTTCTCACCATGATATCAGAAAGCTCAAAGAGCAGTTTCAAATCAATTGATCAGCCTACATGGCAGAAGCATGGATCATTTACAATGTCTTTGAAACAGAATATGGTTGAAAATTAAATGAATTTATAAACCGCTCATGTTGAATGGCCTGCACTGCATGGCATGAAAATATAATACATCGTTTAAGTCATTTTAAAACAGCCAGTCGACGAATTTTCTCCACGCACTGTTATGCGGGTTTTCGTGTGGCATGATTTCCCCATCTTGAAGACGTCCCGACCATAAGTCGATGTTGGCAGCACGTTCAAACTTGGTGCGGTGCCAGAGCTTCCAGCAGATGATGGGAACGATGAAGATAGGGATACCAACATACGATGCAACGAAGTCGGATGTGTTCCAGTTACCCTTCAAGAATACGGGGAAACCGGCAACCAAAGTAATAATGGTAGAACCAATGAATCCCACCCATGCGGCATAAGGTTGAAGAGGTGCCTTCCATGGGATTGTGTCTCGGGAAACGTTCTGCTTCTTCATTGCGGCATAGAAGCGAATGTAGCAGAAACAGAGGGTGGCCCAGGCAATCAGACCAGCGACGGTGCTCAGGTTCAGAAGCCAGGTGAAGGCCTGAGCGGCACCGCCGGTGCCAAGACTCAGATATGCCAATGGGCCGAAGAGCCAAGCAGTGATGACAGCCACATATGGCACACCATGCTTGTTGACGCGTCCAAAGAATTGGGGGAGTTGATGGTCGGTGGTCATGGCAACGATCATGCGCGATCCGACCCAGCAGTAGGAGTTACCGGCGGACCAAGCGGCAACCAGAATGCATGCATTGACAATAGAAGGGAGTGCGTTGATGCCGGCGTTGGAAATGGCAATAACGAAAGGTGAGCTGTTCGCGTTGTCGGAGCCGGAAACCAGGGCGGATGCTCTTGGGTCCACAATAAGGCCGATGAGAAGAGCACCGAGAATGTAGAAGAAGGCAATACGGTAGGTGACTCGGCGGGCGGCCTTGGGAATCGCGCGGTGGGGGTCAACCGATTCAGATGCTGTGATGACGACGCACTCGACACCGATGAAACTGAACGAGGCATTGACGAAAGATGACAGGAAACCGAGGAAGTGGCCCGACGGGCCTGTAATGCCATTATAATCCGTCCACGGTCCAGGGTTGTTCCAGAAACGGAAGCCGATGGCTTCGCCGTTGGGTCCGCCACCTGCAGTAATCACGATCGAGACGACCACCAAGCCCAAGAAACAAAGGACCTTCACAGCACCTCCAATGACTTCTGATTCGCCATAGAACCGCACACTCATCAAATTGATAGCCAAAATAAGCACCAATCCAATCGTGATCACGACCGCAGGCGTTATATCCGTCCAATATGAAACAATGACCGCAGCCGCGGACACTTCTGAGGCAATAGCGATTGTGTAACAATATCCGTATGAAATTGCGAGTGAAAATCCGACAGCCGGGTCGACAAACCGAGTTGCCCAGTGAGGGAAAGATCCAGCAGTAGGGAATAGGGTTGCGAGTTCGGCGATGCTCTGCATCACACACCACAGCACACCTCCGACAATAATATAAGCGAGCAGCAAACCAGCGGGACCGGCTTTGGCGTATGCAGAACCTGTCCCCACGAACAGACCAGTACCAATTCCACTGCAGAATCCGATCATGGTGACCTGGTAATTCCGCAGGCGACGCTGTAGCGCAGCGCGACCGCCGACGTTGAGCTCGAATTCCGCCTTGGGGTTCACATCGTATTCGTCGAAGTCTGCATTGGGAGCAGGCTGGACCTTGTCGTCCGTGAAGCCTGACTTGTCCATGTCGTGTGTCATGGTCGAGTCCTGTCGAATATACTCCAAAAACTTGAGGAAGAGGAAATGCCTCACGGGAGGAACATTCCTTTTGTTCCGAGCTAATCGCCCTGGAGCACGACATCGGGCCCGTCTTCGCAATGATTTTGCTCCACACCATCTACGGCGGGGAGACTCATTGGGTTGTATGGCCGTCTGCTCCACTTTCGGGGAGGCGATTGACTAACTTTTTCATGTTCGCCATAATCGCGATAGAAGGCAAATTTGTGGCTTAGTGGTTTCATATCGAATCCTTTCAGATTTGCCCGCGGTCATTAGTGATTGGTGACTGAAGACACTTGCGGTTGCATGGACATATGCCATGCCACATCTCGGCAAGCCGATGCAAGGGACAAAAAATTTTTGGATTAAAGTTTGACACCTAGATCCTAAGGCAACATATAAAGCCTGAGGCAATCAACCTTATTTCCGTCAGATCTTTTAGCCGATTGGGTTGTAGATCTTGGAAGCCTAAATACATGTGTTCGATTGTAGTCACTTGCTTGCTATAGTAACTTGTAATATAAGGGAGAGATATGATGCAGCTGAAAGAACGTGTCATCCTCAAAATGTCTGGATTCGGGGGAAAATTGGCCTTCAACAGAGAAATAGAAGACCTCACGGGTTAAACTCAGCAGTAGAAACACGTGCTGTAACTAATCTCACAAGAAAACTCTTGGTGAAATGTGAATAGACAGCGACATTGCATAATGAAAGTGTATAAGTATCATTCTCTATAGACGCTAACCTTCCATCCATCTTCAACCCCGCACCTAAACCGCACTAAACCATGCCCTGGTCATGGTGTTGTTCGTTCAAACAGAATAAGTTGAATAACAAGGCCGTGAGACTCATAATTGTAAGATGCCTGGAATTCATTTTTATTGACAAGCTTCGTCATAGTCACGGCGCTCACCGGACGCTGAACAAAACGGACTGGAGTTGTTATACGACGGCCCAGGAACAGACTCCAAAGTGGAGTAAGTACGCCCTTTCTTAGCTCCAAGCTTCAGTATAGCTTACAAGGAATGAAAGCCTTGTTGCTGTTCACGGCCTAGGTGGCCACCGTGAAAGATCATGGACAGCAGCCAATGGAGTAAATTGGCTTCGAGACCTGTTGCCGGTTGATATACCCAACGCCCGAGTTGTTTCCTGGGGTTACCATACATCAAATGGAGGCGAAGATAGTGGAGCGTCTCATCATGAGGTTTCGAAGAAACTTGCGTTGGATTTGTGGGATCTGAGATCATCAACATCTGTAAGCTCGATTGGTCCTATCATTATAAAGGACTAACGTATGTGACGCAGACAACATTGCGTCCTATCATCTTCATTGCACATAGTTTGGGAGGAACTATAGTTAAGAGTGTATGTGAAACTATGCTGAACTGGATAGTTTCCACTAACTATCATCTCAGGCGCTACTTTATTCGGACGCGGCGCAAGAAACTCCCACCATGGATCTTCCCAGTATCAGGATGTCAACCCGTGGAGTGGTATTCATGGGAACACCCGAGTTAGACTCGAGGATACTTGGATTACAGAGTTACCTAACCAGCATGGAAGGATCTGATCAAGAGTCAAGCGATACGTACCAAGAAGCATGCTGGTTGGTCAATACATTGCAGGGCTACTCATCAATCAGCGAAGCATACTTCACGTTGTTTGTTCACGAGAGACCTAATTCTTCGGAAGCCGGTACATCGGATAAGGTGAGAGATACGTCGCTCATTATAACGTACACGCTTTACTGACGTGATTTATCT